TTATGTAGGTGTCCCTATTTGTCACTCTCAACAGTGAACAACTAAATGCACCGATTATAAAACGCTGACATTATGCAACAAATTAACCACGGGAAACGCTCAACAAGCTGGTTTGCATGAAAAATAAATGTCTAAAAAGGTGTGAAAAGGTCTAGCAAAAGTCTTTTTATAATCTTGGCAAGAAGTTTGCTAGACTTCTAATAATATAAGTATAGTACAAGTTTACAAGGGTTCTTTAAAAAATCTAGAAAGACGTTTTTAGAATTCTTGCTAGAAGTTTTCTAGCCGTATAATAACGTGGCATTAGTACAGCTACAGGAGGTTTTCAAGCTGCTTAGGTTTAAATAACCTCTCAAGAAGACTTCTTATATACTTTTGGACTATCCTTTTCCGACATTTACTAGAAGTTTTTTAGCTTTTCTTGTGTTTCGTGTGAAAGGCGACCCGCTGTTCTAAGGGACGCTTCAGAAGCATCTAAATTAGCATAACAATTTATTCAAACTATTCCGTAATTTTTAGTCTTACATTTCTTATGTGATACCTTTTCCTTATTAATAATTCGTTTCTTCGCCAATTATCTAGAGTGGGAGTGAGCCATACATATAGGCAATCATCATCATCATCATCATCATTATCATCATCATCACGTTCGATGTTGGCGGTCATGAGGGACCTCGTGGACATTTCCTTGAAACAAGCACGTCAGCTGTGGTAGAAGGCGTCGATGGAAGCAGCGACCCCACGGTGGCCTCTGGGTACGGTGAGGCTACAGTGTATTATGGCGTTAGAACCACGATGATGGAATCTCCTTATCGGAGGCTGTATGCGTTCCTGCTCTGAGAATGGCGAATACAGGTGCAGGTTGGGGCCCCATGCTAACTGTTCGGAGCGATGGCCTCATCGTGGGTGGAACTGACCACTGCTGTGAGCCAATCCCCGATACCCTATGTATGTGACGTAAGAGCCTACTGTTTTTTTAAAAAACCGCGCCTTTCCCAGCAGACGGATGCAGCACGCGCTTTCTTTTACGAGGCGACGACGGCGCAAGCACAGTTCAGTTTTGTCAGCTGCATACAGCCTGTTAGTCGTTGTTGACGTCGGGTCTTACAATATTGAGCAACGAGTAAATCGATTCGAGGCATGTCAGATGCATCACGTGCCGGGGGGTCGAAATCAAAAAGCGACGCTTCCGCGCTCAGACAGTAGCCGCCTGAACTTGTCACTGGTAAGTGCAGACGAACTGGCACAGCTTGATTCCGCATCGAATGACAACACCAACTTGCTTTTCGCGCGTCAGAAGAGGCACGTCAGCAATGTTTACACCCTGGCCAGCCGTGGCAGGGCGTAGCGGATCTCGTGACGTCATCCGATACCCAACATGGACGACGGAGCAGCTCCTTGTTTCAGTTTTTGTTTTTACTCGTAGTTTATTGCTTAATTAAAATATTCACAAGTTTCTGGGCAAAATGAACCACCCTAGCTTTCGCAGGACTGTCAATACTATTAGAAAGCAGCATTATCTTAGTATGGTCGTAAGTGCACCATAGTTGCCCTTTAGGAGTTTCTTGATGGTGCGCCCGGCCATTACACCGCCATTTTTCTTTACAATATTGTAAAGGGATCGATAATATCATCGCGGACGCGTTAAGTCAGCTGCCACTTTAGCTTCCACCGTCTCAGGTGCCGGAAGAAGAGAGAATTTATTTAGATATGGCACGCATGAATAAGAAAGAATTACAGGCAGCCACTGCAACTGATAGTATTTTTTAGCTGCAAATTTAGTTCATTTTTTAGGGATGGACTCTCAAGAATCATATCGTTTGGGTATTTATAACTTACTTTGCAGTTAAGGATAAACTGTTTTATGCTGATGCGCTCATTTTCTTAAGGGAATGCTTTGCTGCTCCAGAAACATACCGGAGTAAGCTAATTTAGTTAGCGCATGAAAACCATCCAGGGATTATTTATACAAAGCAGCAGTTGCGTGACAGATAGTGGTGGCCATGTCGTGATGAACACGTAGAGAGTATTAGCTGTACGGAACTGTTATATCTGTCAGGCTGCGGACAAGTCGGTGAACCTCGTCTTTGCAGCCCTAAAGCCGGTTTCCTTTCCGGAGAAACTGGGAGAAATTAGGCATGGAAATTTTAAGTCGTCTTTACGACGTCCCCCGAGGCTGTCGCTTTGCACTAATATTAGTCGACTATTACTCCCAATGGCCGGAGGTCTGTTTCGTTCGAGACGTTACGTCTCATGCAGTCATGACTCTTTTCCATCTTCTGCCGTGAAGGATTTCTGACATGCTTAGTGAAGACGGACAACGGACTTCAGCTCAGGTCCTATCAGTTTCAAACTTTTTGCAAATGAGACATCCAAGGCCTTTGTTGTTCCAATTATACCCTCAAGCCCATGGACATGTTGAGCGGTTAAACAGGGCCATGAAGGAGTACGTTCAACTAGCTCAACTGAAGCAACGTCCTCTTAAGAATGCATTTATGGAGTCTTTGGGTTTCTAACGGTTTTCTTCTCGAGCAACTGCTGATTTGTCTCCTGCTATGCTACTTCATCAGCGTCAACAACACAGAGCAGTTTACATAACTGGTGAAGAAAAATCTATACCATTTTCAAGGACTGATGCTGCAATGACCATCCGAAAAATCGCCAATGCAGAATTAAAATCCCTGTGGAACACCGAGTGCTTACGGCACACGCGACTGCGTAGACTGGACACGTCTCGTCGACTCCGACCTCCGTGTGGACTCTCCCGACTCGAGACAACGGTGCTTTTCCGACTATGGCTTGGTATCGCCTTCACCAAAGCTTTCGCCTTCCGAATCGGCATGGAAGACAGTGCTGCTTGCGGTCATTGCGGCAGCGATGAAACTACAGAGCACGTTCTCTGTCACTGCCCTCGTTACAGCGTGCAAAGACGGCAACTAGCTGCTGCGTTGGCTCGCCTTGACGACAGACCTTTGTCTGAACAATCAGTGCTGGAAAGACGACATGATTTGTGTGCTCACAGAAAATCAGTGAAGGCCCTACTGAACTTTTTGCGTGGCAGCGGCCTATTGTATAGACTGTAGCACCCCAGCTCCCCCCCCCCCCCTTTTTTTTTTCCGCGCGCGTCTATTTCCCTCTTCGCTTACTTTCCAATCTTTCTTCCCCATTCCCCCTTCCCCTAGTGCAGGGTAGCAAACCGGATGCTCCATTTTCTGGTTAACCTCCCTGCCTTTCCCCCATTTTATTATCTCTCTCTCTATTCTCTGATCTGCCGTTACATTCCACTTTTCAGTCGTATTTAGTGACGTTTCTTCCGTCATGGAAAGGACGCCGAAAGAATACGCGTGATCAGAAGACAAAGAAAAAAAGTTCCGTCATTGAGAGTCGAACGTACGAACCCTAGGCCCGCGAAAAGAGACGTCGGGCTATCTATCCACTGCGTCCTGGTTGCATACTCTGTAGGCTTTACGAACGCGGCTTTTACATCTATCATTGTGATATCACAGTGTTCTTGCTAAAGTGAAGCGATGCATCATGACCATAAAATCTACGATTAGTTCATTCGAAGCGTCGTCTATATGCGTCCGTCCTGTTCGGCGCAATTCCAATAGGCGAAAAGTGCAGTTTTGTCGACGCATTGACACAGCGTTGTGTGGCATCCTTATATTTAGTGTCGGCCTCGCTCGTAGCATCTATTCATGCCAAAAATAGCTCTGCGACGCTCGACTGCTTCTGCGAGGCCGTAACTCCGCGCTCGCAACTCACACTCGCCCCGCGAAATATCGCAGCCACCAACGGGGAAGACCAGATGTGCGTTGCGTTTCCCTCTGACCGGGCAGTGGTAAATAACCCTAACATGCAGCGCATAGGTGACCTTAGCCCAAGATTAGCGTCCAATCAGGGACGCTCTTCTGGCTCTCATGTCGCTTTCTCTGATTCAGCTCTCATTGTACAGCTGCCACGAGCTTCTATGAACATATGGTTCGTATAATCATTGGTCATGAACGTTAGTCGTCGGGATCCAGATATAGTACCAAGCGTCAGCGTGGGTGCTATAACTGTCAAATACTAATACGCATTTTACAAGCTCTCCTACATCAATGTAATTAACATTCAACTACCTCAGTAAGGACATGTTTCGTTTTCTTGTTATACCAATTCCTATGGCGGGGAATCAACCATGTTTTTTTGTTGCTGCTCGGCGCATACGAGGCTCGACATGACGTCACCCCAGTCTCCGCGTAGCAATGTTCGGCTTGGCACGAGTTCTCCGGCACGGTCGGAGCGCAGCTGCTACATCGACGCTCACGCGGCTTGACTTGGCGCCACACGAGCTGTGAAAGGTGAGCGATTGCTAGGCAACAGCACATCGACTTTTTTTTTTGAGATAGGGTCGGACACATTGCGGCTAACTTAAACAGCTTAGCTGTTAAAAGTCAGTATATCTTTTTCAGCCAATAAACTCAGTAGGGGAAGAGTTAAAGGAGGTCAAGGTAAAAAACGCGCCTTTAGCCGATCAACACCTATGATAAATAGCTATGTTATTGATGTGGTATGTTTATTTGATGTAAGATAGTAGATAATCACAGACACAATATTTTCAACCAGGTGTCTTTATTTCATACTCTCAACAATGATGCTGAGTGTCGTGCAAGGGTTCTTTCCAAAAAAAAAAAAAAGCACGCGGTGGCCAATTATAACAGAGCCACCTGTGGAGCAACTGTACCTTTAGTCCGGTATACTTAGTATCGCTATTCAATGTTCTAGCCTTTTTAACTATATGCTGCCATTGAACAGAAAACTGCAGCATGTACCTTGCAAGAAACTATTGAAGGTATTATGTGTATATTAAAGTGTATATTAAAGAATGCTTATAACATGATTCTAATGAATGTAGCCTTGATAAGATTCCACAGGAGGGCAAGTCCTGTGGATAAACGTTTGTTTATGACATAAGCTATAACAAAGCTACAACCTCGCTCGTATATAATAATCGTACATAATACTTTCGCGAGTTTTTCGGTCTTTATTGTTTTTTCTCTCCGGAACAGCATTGCGAACGATGAATGAACAAGTGCGTTTTTTCTTCACCGATTCCTGCCGCGGGTTGAGATATGCAGATGACAGCAGCGACAATGTGCGCACAGCGCGTTTACAGCTGTTGTCAAGCTCGTTCAGCCCTGCCGTGTTTTTCTGAGGTGCCGGCCGGCACACATTCTTGCCTGTAGAGCGCGCAGACAGCACCCTGGGACCGTTGAGCACTATATGTCGGGCCGGCGTATCATTATCAGCGAAGAGCACCTTAGGGTCTACGAAACCTAGAGAGCAAGGCCTTAGCTACAGGGTCCGTACCGAGAGTATTTCGTGAGTATGATATTTTTGCGAACGGGTCCAACCGTCGGCGACAGCAGCCTGACGAGTGAAAACGTTTGGACGCTAGACCGGAGGCCTCAGAGAGGCTCTATGTACATAACTGCTGTATATACCTGCTGCCCTAGGCACCCTAGGTCAGAGTCCCGAAGACGGGACTGCTAGCTCGACAGTGAAAGGCTTCCGCCGCTACCTATAATGAGAACGACGGGCGATGTTATTAGAAAAGGAGGAGGTCGCAGATGGTGCGCGGAACAGCTTCTGCGATGGGAGCGGAACCGGGGGCGTATAGGGAAGGGGGCTTCGCGCTAAGCATGGACCGCGGCACTCGAAAGGGGAGCATCCTAGAAAAGCGTCAACAAAAGGCCTACGCTCGCAGGCAACCCTTGCTTCTTGACTTGCTTTTCCTGCGCGAAATAAACGGGGCTTAGTCCTGGCAAGTGAAAAACGTGAAGGACAAGCGGCTACGGGGGAGGTTGTGCTTGACCTTCGGGAAGGGAAAGGAATTGGCCCGCCAGTCCTTGCAGACAAGAGCTTCCTCCATGTTGACAGCGTGTGCTGGAGATTGTTGTACACACTACACTGCTGCATAGATGTCGACGAAACAAGTGGCTGTCAGTCGTGCCTTCTAGTGAGAGGCTATGTACACATTAAATATATCCTAGAAAATAAAAGTCAAGAGAGAAAGAAGAATAACGTATCACATATATCAGCAATTGCTTCCACATCACAGTTGCTCTGGCACTGAATGAAATGGCTGGCTGCGTTGCACAAGGCGCTCAGAAACGCCGCACGAAGCCCCCCAATATATGATCGTCGATCTGCGCGGCCAAGTTTAACGTGGCATTAGCCTCTCCAAGTAGCATGACTGTCCACAGCACATTCTTCAAATGGCGAATCGAGGAAAGAAAGTTACACGTGCGTAGATTCTCGATGCATCGTCTAGTGTGCCTTTCACAAAGTTTAGCAGAGCATATTTTGCCAATTAGATAAAATCATCAGTGCGTGCGGTAGCTTTATGAGGTAAACGACAGAAATTTCGGGGCCGCGTTGGCGGCGTGCACAAGAAATGAAGACTTAAACCTGGCTACATTAAATGCTAGTGGCATGTTCAAAATATAAAAATTACAAATTATAACAACGACTTTATGTCGCCTTAGACAAATCGTTTCCGGGACAAATATGGAAAACTATATGAATATCAAGTAAAAAAATACGATCACAAAAATGCCATTTGCGTGCCAAAAAGTCAGACAAAATTTTCAATCTTACATGCAGAGTACAAAATCTGTCAGGAAAACAACTAAATTACTGTCTATACAGAACAAGTTAAGACATACCGAAAGTAAGACTTGCTAGAAACACCAGCCATGTGTAAAATAATCCTTCACCCGACATAAAATTGGTGCAGCTGGTGGGTAAATGCCACTACATGCATGATAAAACACTCCAATTATTATACCACACGTCCATAATTTCTTTGAAAATTTAGTTAAACATTCACCAACACATGCATGGTGGCATTTAGGTTATTCTTATTCTGATGATGTTAATTAGCGCTAGCCAATATTGTGTAAAAAAGAGAAAAAACTTTACTATTTTTAGCATGTACGCTTGCCGCAATGTGCATAAAAAATCCATTCCCTGGAATTTCTTTTTTCGTTCTCTTTTTTTCATTCTCTTTTCTTCGACGAAAGCAAGTCCCATTATTTTGTGAACAGGGCCAGAGCCATTCACACCTTAAAGCAAAGGCTTACACATAAAGACCCACATTGGATTTGCATCCATTGTGAATAGTGCTTGAGGTTGGTTTCTATAGAGTGGGAAAATAAAGTGCAATAAGAAGCAATCCTTGCCACACGTGGGGCACAAAAAGGAGAGCGAAAAATGTAAGCGTGATTTGAATAGTCTCATTGTCACATTAAAGCATAGCACACACAGGAAAAGAGTAACACTGAGGCTAATAGATAATTGATTAGAAACTGGTCAGTAATTACTTCAGTGCCAAAGTATGGCAACTAGAGGGTTGGGCTTGCTTCCTATGTCAGCTAAAGATAATCGCTATGTACACTTCTCTTGACAGGCTTCTTGTAAAATGCTGTAAAATCCTAAACGTGGGCATAATCTATAGCATGATCAAGAATAGAGCAAGTCATTAAGTTTGTGATGTCTATATACATGAAGGTCTAATGGAAATATATGCTAGTGATAAAGATGATTATATTATATGCAGGCATCTCTATATCGTTCATTCATATGTCTAAAAAAAAACTGGTCAGAGATGCAAATGTGCAGATATGACCCTCGAGTGTGAGTGGGAGCTTTTCTGTACATGAATGTTGAAAAAAGTTTGGTTATTTGCCGCAAGGCGTCTTCTGCTGCTCTTACTATGTTTCGTGATTTGTTGACTGGTAGGAATACGAATTAAGCTATCAAATACGGGCCAGACAAAACTAAGTTTGAACAACTTCCACTGTCTCAACTTCAAAGAGTGAACAAGACCAGAAATTTGTTTTATAGTACAGCCCTTTGGCTGCATGCTATCATACATGTTCTAGACTGTCTGTATAGCATAGCAATGTTAATTGCATTACTTCAGGATTTTAAGCGGTTAGGTATAAGCGTCATGAGCTTACGTAAATTTCGTTAAGTGCATACGCATTCTCTTTCTGTAGTTTGATAACACATTTGTAAAGCCCTTCCGGCTTACCCAACATTCGATTAGCAATATTACTGGGCACCCATGATAATTCGAAAGCTTCTTCTTCACACACAAGTCAAGATGGCAAGCTGGTGAGGGCTCGGTCCTTAACACTTGCATGCGCAACCTATGAGCATTGAACACCTTCTTTGTCTTTTTTTTAAAGGTTGGCTCTCAGAGCCTGTCACACCCTTTCACACGAGGTCATTCGGCAGAACGCCTTCCAGTTAAGCAGCACCAGTACCAGCAATCGATAAGTTGAGAAGAATTCAGCATGCAATGTATACAGGAAAGAGCATGTGACAACAAAAGGAGCACATGTTTGATGCACCATAAAACTTTTGCTTCTGCCCAGCTATATCAACTAGAAGACTAGCACAGAAAAACGAGTATCTTTAGCAAAGTGATTTTGTGCCGGACATAATATTAGCTCGGCAGCTGAAGTGACGCATCATGACTAGCGTTTTGTTACTGCTGCGGCAGTCGAGGTGACAGTTTCAGCCGTGACAGCTCTGTGCTGTAGTTGTCCGATCAGGGAAGCATGAGCGCCAAGGCATTCGGTGGTTGCGTTGCTGACAATTCGCGGCCAGAGGTGTCCGGTGCAGTAACGGTGCTTCTTTTTCATTTCCTTTGGCTAAGTGTTGGCCAGCGTACGCAATGATTGAAAATGATGCTTTTGTTGCCAGTAGTCGGGGTGGTCCTAGAGAAGAGATGCCCCGGTGCTGAGCAGTATAGAGACTATCACGAGGCCTTCACTTGCATCAGGCCAACTTCTTCCACAGTGTGGTCAGAACCCTCAAAGCAGTCGTCGATGAAGTCTTCCATGGCATTGTACAGATGTGAAGTGACGTGGCTCAGGCCGTGCTTTTCATCCGGGTACACCTAACAAAGAAAATAGGAAGCACAGTTGTTTAGGTGGTGCCATTACATTCACAGAAGGCAACTGTAGGCTTATTCAAATGAGTCACACTATTGCAATACACAGAATCAAAAAGTAATTTTAAAGTCTCCCATGTTAAATTCATGATATAATTATGAGGCACGCCATAGCAGGAAATTACAAAATAATTTTGAGCACCAAAGGTGTTTTACCCTACACCCAACGTGCAATAGAGGGTCACTTTTGCATTTCGTTTCCGCCTAAATGCGGCCACAGTGACTGGTGTTTGATCCCGCGACCTTTAGATGAGCATGCAGCACAACCCCATAGCCGCTAAGACACTACACAGGGCACCGAATCTGCGAATTTAGTCTAAGCTTGCGTGAGCGTTGCGCGGGCCCCGGGTATATATATAGTCGCTCCTTACGCCGAAAACTGCAATTCTAAACAATGAAGCAATGTGTCTTTGATGCACAACATAAAAACCACATATGTTCACACATCAATTGCTTTACTGCATGCACACTCGTGGAAGTGCGTAATGCGTCCACCGCTGTGAATGCACACACTTGAAGATCGAGTACAAAACAACAAAAAGCTGGTGTCAGGGACAGTCGTCGGCGTGAATACCAAAGGAACAGCCACATGACCTCTCAGGCACATCAACTGGTGCTAGTAGTGAAATGTCACACAAAGTCACTGCATGATTAGGACAAAAGGTCGACCGATCCCGGAGGTTGTGCAACATCGCGTGGAATGCATAAAAGCTTGGGGCGGAGAAGAAGGGGCAGATGAACAACACAGTCATTGAAATAACTTACCAGAGTGTCTCTTGAGAGCATTAGCTTTTGTATATGCTCTCCATAGGGTTACCTGACAGCACTGTAACTTTTTTTTTATGAGGGTACCAAACGAAAACTTCAAGACTAGCACAGAAAAACGAGTATCTTTAGCAAAGTGATTTTATGCCGGACATAATATTAAACGAGACTGCCAATTGGATAAGCGATGTTCTAAGTATCAGGAGCCAGGCGTAGATAACTTGTCAAAAAGAATATCACAGCATATCCACAGAGTGAATGATGATGAGGGGGGCAAAGCGTCCATCAGTCCGTCCATGCTTGCGTCCACCCGTCCATGCGTCCGTCCATGCGTCCGTCCATGCGACCGTCCATCCGTCTGTGTGTCGTCCGTCCGTCTGTCCATCCGTCCATCTAGTGAACACTCCAAGTACCGCCATGTCGCATTTTTTTCATATATTCATCATATACAACTACTGCCATCCAGCGGAAATTGTAAGGTATAAACCAGAGGTGGCTACTACTACAAACACAAGTCGTACGACCCACGGCGTAAGGAGCTTCACCCTAAAGGTGAAAGCGAGCTTTCAAGCATACCTGCCTCATATAAGAGAACGTGAATTGTCCAGGAGTCGTTATGGCAGTTTGAATGCGCAGCTAAAATGTGCAGTTTTCATCCAGTAGAGTGCCGCTAAAATGGCCGGATATATCAGTACTAAACATATGCACGTCTGAATCAATATTTGCTGTAATGCTCAATGTGTCAAGCACAGCTGTCTTCATGGCCATGCAGTTTGAGACACGTCAAGGCCCAGTTAGACCGGAAACTCCATACATGTGCCTGAATGCCTGAATGTAAGCGACGAGCTTACAAGCTCAAAATTTCAGCATGCACTAATGGAAACTTTCCCTTGCTCCGCGATGCTGCTATTAGAACGATAAGTTTGAGAGCCCTTTGTTTTGACCATCTGCACATCCATCGCACATCACGTGACCTTCACTCGCATGCCAGTGCACTTTATTAAGATATCAGAGCCAACTTATATCAGTCTTTTCAACTGATTAAGAGATGTGCCAGGATTTCTGCTGCGGTCAACCGCTTTTGTCGACGAACTTTATATACGAAAAGCTGCCATCTGAGACATGGTAGCAATAATAAAGCTGAAGTCTGACAAATTTTTTTTCAATTTGCATATATCACGGTTGTCAAGAAAGGGTTCCTACATATTGTCTCATGTTGATTTTCCTAAATTGTGCCAGCAGTTAAACTAAACTTGAACACACTGTGATATAAAAAAAAACGTCAAGCTTTTAGGTTGATAAACGAGATAGTCTGACCAGTGTCGAGACACTTACTGGAAAATGCATCTCATTTGCCTATGACGATTCTCATGAGTCATCATCAAGCTTCCTTTCGATCTCTTGCTTGAGTGGAGGTAAATGATAACTATTGCTGTTACATGACATGCGGTTGTCAAGTGGGTCTTGGACAAGGAAGATGCATGGGGACGAAATTAGGGAAAACACACTGCCTGAACCCTATATTCCACTCTTTGGTTACAATCTTACTAGTTGTATGCACATAGCTCAGAAACGTTTATTTATGATAAGAATTGGTTGCTGAATGAACATTCTCAACAATACTATTATCACTAGTGAATACTGTTGTTATCAAATTTATGCCAGCTAATCAACACAACAATACTCTTATCATTATTACCAGAATTTGGAAACGCTAGTTGAAGTAAAAGTGCCCCGATCAAGATACAACAACATTTCTGCCTTCAAGACAGTGACAAATGGACCTCCAAAGCCCATGTGTCTCCTCTAAAATACGAGTGCATAGCGCATATATATGGTACAGTGAGGCATTCCTTCTGCTCCCCCCCTCCCTTTTTTTTCATGTACACGAAGTTGCATTTGCATTGCACGAGCGCTACAGTAACGTGACGCTGCTCGTTCAAATTGTTGCATTATGAGCAGTGGCTGTCCATGATAACCAAACGATATCCACGCTTGTGGAAAATTTTACATGATACAATTTCACCCTGTTGTATGCCCCTTTCGTATTGCACTGTCAAAAATACAGGAACGCTCTTCAAATGCAATATTAGGATACCACTTCTCCCAAATATTTTAACAAAAAAGCACCTGATGAAGAGTACCACCAAGACTACACTGAAGTAATTTCAGTCACGGATGTGACGTTAGTAAAATGCACATGAACAGATGATAAATTAAAACCAGAAGAAAAGTTTCCGCTGGTTTGGATGACTGCGAGTCCAACCAACGACCACTTGTTCTGCGACGACAGGTGCCGGACGGTTTACCTACTGAGCTAGTCACATACTGGCGCGTTCAATATGACCTCTAACATGAGAGCGTGTGACCTCACGAGTTCAAAAGTTGCAAATGAATTTGACCTGTTTTTGTTTCAACAGCTAAATATTATTTTTTATTTGAGATCATGCTCAAGTAAGAGAAACACGTTTGGTAACAAGCGCCGACAGGGTAGCTTCAGTGTAATGGATGCTTTTTAAGCATTATTGAAGTAAACTCTACGATCAGTGGAATGTGAAGATGCAATACGTGCTTTGCCTTTCACGTCATGCTGGCGTGTGATGCCTTGTCTCCAGTGTAGTGCAGGTTCCATATGCACCAACAGTTTTCTCTAATGCCTACTATATTTCGAGTGTGTTAGCACGAACTAATAAAACTGCTGCAACAAGCGGCATAGCAAGGTAATAACGTCATTGGAGAAATGTTGTGCAGTGAGTGCTTTGATTTAGCGGAGAAGCACCAGCGAGAAATGGAACGCCTTGCCGCATTCACGGCTGAAGCTATGAACACTGCCTTCCGCATTCTTGAAGCGCTGTGTGGTACATGCGTAAGCACACAGCATAGAGGTTACCCTATTGCTGGTGTTTCTCCCGTCAAATCATGATGCTCTGAATGAGTGTATATTGGCTATCAGTGTTTATTATAAACTTGTTGATGCCGCCTTTGCGTGGGGTTCCCCATATGCTGTGTCCAATGTTTGTTCACTACTTCAGATACTACAAGGGTTAAATCATAATCGCTAACATCAGTCATCGGGATGCAGATGTGCCACCATAGGCATCAAAGTTGACGTATCTAGGTCAAATGGTGCTATAGCTACCAAACCACGACATACAATGTCCAAACTCTCAAACATCAATGTACAATAAACGATTAACAACTCCTTGTTTAACAACAATGATTAACATGCTCCTTGTTTCAACGTGATACATGTATTAGCATCAAAAGCTTGTTTTGCAAAAATTCTGGTGTCGGCATCATTGATTGTGAGTGAGAAATCTCGGCATTGTCCGTGGGCCAAAAGTTGAGATAGATGCAAATAAATGAAGGAAAAAAATCTTTGGCTTAGGCCTCTTGCATCGCAAGCAAGTATTCTACCGCAGAGTCAAGCCAGTTTGAAAATGTTAAAAAAAATATAGGCACAAATTATAGGGCGAGGAATTTTCTTAATGCATATAAAATTGCGTGACCGAAGCGTGGCCTCGCACCGGGCGTCAAAACATGTGAATTGCTCAACGAGAGGTTGGTTTATGTGCTCACTGATTACAAAGCGTTCTGGCATATTCAATCATCACTGTCAGCAACAGCATCAACAAAATGTGCCGTGTGCAACTGTGAGTGTCGCCTTCAGGACGATTAGTGGGTACTTTACCGATTCGGAAAAGATAGAACTTAGGTGCAGTGAGCCTTTTGCAACAGCATTTGCTGTAAGAATTCTGTAAGAACATTTGCTAAAAAATTATGTAAGAGCACTTGCTTATGTAATTATGTAAGAGCATTTGAAATTATGTAAGAGCATTTGCTGTAAGAACATCCCATTACGTAATTTAGTTTTTCGCTCCGAAAAAACACTGCAGAAAGTTTTGAAAGGTGCAAGCCACTTAGATAGATGACGCTATGGGAAAAACTCTAGGCACGAATGGTTTCCATGGTTCAAAAAATGAAGGAAATGTCAATTCATTGTAAAACCTGCTCAAATCATCTGTAAACGTCGTGAATCGACAAAAATCTCAAACACTTCTGCACAATTGCACGGAAAAAGTGACGACTGATTATTGATGAGTTGGACAACTTATTTGCTGAAACTTGGACCTCGAGTTCGTTAATTTTTGCAGAAGGGTATGGAATGAGAAGGATTGCTGGGAAATTTCGACAGGTAAGTGAATAATTGTCGATCGGATGCATGCCGTGCCGGCAGTTACGAATTCAACCAGATCTTCTTTCGATGGTTGTCACCACTGATGAGATTACACTGCTATTTTCTCGCCAGTTGCACGCTGTTAATTTAATTAAATAGGGCATCATAACGAATGAGGAGGGCACAAAACTAACTTCAAGAAAAAAAAAACACTCTCTATCCGGAGCAAACCTTCTTAAGATTAGTAACTGGATGTAATGAACTCGAAAGGAGTTGCGCGACACACGCCTAGTGAGAGGAATACATACTACAGTACCTCCACCACAGCCGGACTAGACTGCACTTGCCGCGCAGGTGCAGTCCAGTTCGGCCGTGCGTCCACTCAGCGCCGCGCCATGCCGATTACTTTTGGGTAGCCCCTTGTACTGTGCATTTGCTCAATAATATGGCACATTCATAACTATCTTCTTTGTTCTGACGTCTAAGAATGTCTCGTTAGTTCTCAAGCTTATGCAAGGAAGATCCTGGAAGATGGAACAAAAAAAAACATAATTTTCATGAAAGATCAATTCGTTGTGGTCTTTACTTCCGATACCTAATTAACGCTTCCACCCTTATGTACTAAGCAATATATTGCATAAGGACATAGTTGCCACAAAGTAAGACACACACAAATGGAGGAGCATGACTACAGGATGAGCGAAACTTCCCACTGAATTGTTCTGGGAGTCAAGCCAGAAATAGACAAGATGTGCCAAGCTATTGTTCACTATATTTAGCCAATGCACTGTAAAACCTGCAAGTGTGAACCCCATTTCAAAGGGGCAGAGATTTTAGGTAAAAGCAAGCATCAGACTGCATATGAGTTGGTTAACACCCACAACAATTCAGTTGGAAGTACCGCTCGTCGTGTTCCTCCCTTTGTGCAAGTTTTACTTCGCGGCCTTAAGTAATTACCATATAGGCCAGGAAACATTCTTGTTAAAATATAGTGCAAATCTTACGCACCTGAGTTTTGTAAATGACCCCCTTCTTGATCAGTTCCTTGGCAAGCATCATAGAGTGCTGAAAGTGAACATTATCTGCAAAAAAGTAATGAAAGAGATTAGAAACCCTTTCTTCATAAGACTACATTAACTTTTTTTTACTATATATTTTGAATAATCTTTGAGAACATAAAATAAATAAAATAAATAAAAAGAGAAAGACAAGAAGACTGAGAATCAATTGAGGGTACTGCTTCTGTTTGACAAAACTCTATGTATCGAACAGATGAAGAAGTGAAAAAAAAAAGCCGACAAACTTAGGTGCATGCATTAGTATTTGTAGTTTTTAAATGAAGCATATAATTATGAGATAAAGGAAAATGAAAAACCAAATGTACAGAATTCACAAATTCATCAAATCACCTCACACGTGTGTATGCATCCTCACTCAAAAGAATTCAAACAGAACACTAATTCGAACTTTGAAACACCCCACGCTGTGTCCATAGGCCTATAGTGAGGCATCAGTGCTCCAATAGAGGAACCTTCAAGAGCGCGGTTCTTGAGAAAACTGCTGAGCTGCAAAACTAGTTCTTCATGGCGTTTGTCGGTGGCCGTAGGTTCGATATAACTTTATTGATGACACAAGGAAACAATTACATTTTCAGCAGGAGCTATGGTGATGTTCGTGTACGCGATATCTTTGAAGCTGCTGCAATCTCTAAGAACAATGCATCATGCATATATATATATATATATATATATATAGAAAAGGGGGAGAAAGGATAACTTGCCGTGGGCAGGAACCGAACTTGCGACCTTCAAATAAGGCGTTCGATGCTCTACCACTGAGCTACCACGGTGGCTATCTTCCAGCCACTTTATTGGCTCTATCATCAACATCATCAGCCTGACTACATCTACTGCAGGACAAGGGCCTCTCTCATGTTCCACCAGTCAACTCAGTCCTGTGCTTGCTTCGGCTAATTTATACCCGCCAACTTCTTAATCTCATCTGCCCACCTAACCTTCTGTAAACCCCTAACCCGTTTGCCTTCTCTGGGAATCCAGTTAGTTACCCTTAATGACCAGCGGTTATTCTGTCTACGCACTACATGCCCGGCCTATGTCCATTTCCTCTTCTTGATTTCAACAATGATATCCCTAACCCCCGTTTGTTCCCTAATCCACTCTGCTCTCTTCTCATCTCTTAAGGTTACACCGACCATTTTTCTTTCCATTGCTCACTGCGTCGTCCTCAATTTAAGCTAAACCCTCTTTGTAAGTCTCCAGGTTTCTGCTCCGTAGCTAAGTACCGGCAAGATGCAGCTGTTATATACCTTCCTCTTGAGGGATATTGGCAATCCACCTGTCACGATTTGAGAGTGCTTGCCAAATGTGCTCCACCCCATTCTTACTCTTCTAGTTACTTCCATCTCGTGGTTCGGCTCTGCGGTTATTACCTGATTACTTGCCCTAAGTAGACATAGTCATTGGCTCTATATTTGAATTTAAACGTGGGAGTGTCTTAAGTATACACTTCTTTCCCTTATTCATTACGGCCGTCTCGTACTGGCAGACTTGGTGCCTTTAGGTTGTATACGAGGGACTATTGGTTATCTGCCAGCTCGTAATAAGTTCACGTGCTACGTGACACCATACAGGCTCATAAAGAGTGTGCCACACCCGCCACCATGGCTACCTGTGGTGCTGACTAACACTCCAAAGTTTAAATTCACATATAGAGCCAATAAAGTGGCTGGGGGGATAGCCGCCATGATAGCTCAGTGATAGATTATAAATGCGTTATTCAAAGGTCGCAGATTCGGTTCCTGCCCACCGCAAGTCATCTTTTCACCCACTTTTCTTTCTTCACATTTACATTGCAATTTGGTCTAATAAATTCTCCTATACATTCCTTGGCATTATTGTCTGTTAGATCTCATAAATGTTGTGTGAAAGCACGAAAAAACGAGCCCTTATGCATACACCTCTTTTCCTTATTCATTACAACGGTCTCGTATTGGCAGACTTGGTGCTATTAGGTTGTATACGAGGGATTATTGGTCAGCTGCCAGCTAGTAAAAAGTTCACGTGCTACGTGACACCATGCAGGCTCATAAAGAGTGTGCCACGCCCGCCACTATGGCTACTGGTGGCGCTGACTGACACTCCCATGTTTAAATTCCCATATAGAGCCAATAAGTTGGCTGGATGATAGCTGTCGTGGTATCTGAGTGGTAGAGCATTGAACGCGTTATTCGAAGGTTGCAGGTTTGGTTCCTGCCCACGGTAAGTTATCTTTTCACCTACTTTTCTTTCTTCACATTTACATTAAGATTCGGTGTATATATATATATATATATATATATATATATATATATATATATATATATATATATATATATATATATATATATATATATATATATATATATATATATATATATATATTGGTGTTCCCTTTATTGAACACTAGACTCTTCAGTGAATGCTATTGACTGTTCCTGCCGCTCTTCTTCTTTACGTGCTGTTCTCCTTACAGATATGTCACACTTCTCTCTCTGCAATCCTGACGGCGACTGTCATGTGCATAAAACACGCAACATTGTTGTGTAGGCTGATAACTATCGATGAGACTTCAGGAAAAGGTCTAATCTATAGACACACCCACATGCCACCAAAGAGTTCAGCCTGCCACCCGAAAGTCACTGCAGAACACAAATGACCGCATCAATTGGCTACTGGCTAGCTACCTTTTGAATACCTTGTTTTGTCACTACAAAAGAGTAGCGTGTAGTCGCGAAGCGAGAACGGGCGATCTGTGATTTCGAGCAAAAAGCACACTTTAGCGAAATTCTTAGCAATATTGTGCAATATCACAGTCAACTGCATGACCGAGCAGGCTGACCGGTGGTAAGGAAATTGGAGAAGAACATCATGCAGTGCATGAGACGCAGTATGGCCTGCTTTCGCCTATTATTCTACGATAGATATCTGCGGGCTCAATAAAATGCGTGAAGTGTGGCATCTCCCAGGCCACACTTCATGAACACGCACAGCGAACATGGCGTTTGCAGTTGTCGCAGCAGCTTCCATTATTGCTGCTTGTGGTCAAGAACTGCCGGCTATTTAACAAGAAGAGCCGTGCAGTGAAAGTGAACGTTACGTTAGCATGACCATATTTTGTTGTATCGTATAGCTAGACGATCGCACTAACGGTATTCGAATAAGCGTGATCACCACGGGAAGCGGCATCTGACCCTTGCGCCATAAAACAACATATCATCATCATTTGAAACATGCGTCATCGTTTCAATGGCAGTACATCAATGTAAGCCTAATGCTACCGTTGAAAATAGGCAGTTTTAGAATATGATACCCACAGCCTTGTGTACGCAGTCGGGGTTGTCCCCGATGCTCATGCGTCAAACGTGAACTTCAAACATTCTTTCGGTGCCTACCGAAAGAATGCACGCTATTTTTAAACTGATTATTATTAAAAAGAACCAGCTATCACTGAGAAAAATCAATGGCAAGATAGCGCCATGTCGCATAAGCCTTACGATCGCAGTCGCGCAACAAATGTCCGTGGCACAGAGTGATGTTGCCGTCCATGTCTGGCCGAGCAATGGCAGGAGCCTGTCTGGGGGGCGTTTTCCGCGCATGTTTCGGACTAAACACTAGTGTGGTGCTTTGGAAATAACATGTGACCACGCAACACACTTAACCTTCACCAAAGGTACTGACCATCGGCTGTGCCGTGCACGAGCAGGAACTTTTTCCCCTTGAGCCTGGCGGCGGCGCGTGTGAGGTCTGCACGCTCGTATCCAGCTAGGTTGTCTCGCGGCAGCCCCATGTAGCGCTCTGTGTACGCCGAGTCATAGTACAGCCAGTTGCTGACTGGTGCCACCGAGATGGCGCACTGGAAGACAGCCGAGCCACCTTCATGCGGCGTGTCGTTGCCGTTGTTGCCGGGGCCACCATTGGCCAGCGCCATAGCCGATACATAGCCGCCATATGACCAGCCCCAGATGGCTGTGTGGTCGTTGCTGATAAATGACATCTCGTTCTTGAGGTGCCTGCGGACGAAATAGGGAAGAAGGTTAATTCCCGAGCTGATGATAGGCCAATACAGATGAATTCCCAGATGGAACCACACACACCATCTTTTTATCTATTTCTAACACGCTCTCCCCACTCAGTCCCCAGAACTTACGTGCGCCGCTCCTTGACGACTTGTGGACCACGGTGTTGTGCGAACGCATGCTCGTCTTTAGAAACTCAGCTTAGGAATCATGCACGTTTTGCCAAAAGCTTCCAGAACACAAAGCTCGCGCCGAAAGATTGCTGCGAGAGACCGTACTGAAACCTTATAGAAATTTTAGCGTTCCATAGCTCTGGAGATTGCAGTGATTTATTGAGCCAAGCCACGCACCTCGTGCCTCCAGACACGCGAGCTACACTCTCACCTCACTTGACCAACAAAATAGAAGTTGAAGGCTTTGTTCAAGCCTAAAACTATTTAGATTAAAGGTTTTCTCGTGAAAACGCACTAGAGCCAACTCACTAGATTTACTTCTTTTTTTTTAAATATGCACTGAATCACTGAGAGTAAGTTAAGTTTATCAAGATGTCTTTTTGTCCCAGAGTTTAAAGGTTTTTCAGTTAGTGTCAAGAGAATAGAGAATATGAGAATTGTTTGATTTTGCTACTGGAGCCAACAGCACTACTCTTACACAAAAACCGAGACCCTAGCAATATGACTTTTTTTTTTTTCAGCAAACTTTTCCTGAGATGACTCGGCGTTGGCTGCATGAGAAAGCGCAGTACACATCAACCTCAAGGCTGATCTTTTTGGGTGTACTTGAATCCTGTGAAAGCAGCAAGAGTATCTGTTTTTCGTATCACAGATTATTTGATAAGTTTTGTTCAGTCTGGCACAATAAGGGCATTTTTTGTTTCTTTCACTTGAATACTAATACAGCATGACTAATCTTCAACATTTGGTAAGCTCAGTGATGCAGGCTATAAAAATAGGAATTAAAAAATTCATGAGGTATATGTCACTTAGCTTTTCGTCACTATGTTAATTTCACATGAAACACTACTTTGGGTAAGTTGTGGCAGAGTGTTGAATGTGCACGATGTTTTTTTTTTGGAGGTAATACATATTTGCCATTTATTGCTATTGGCACCCGACACTGGCTCAGAGGGTGCGACGGAGCTCTTCAGCATTGTTGGCACCAACCACCAGGAATTCAAAAAAAAAAAGCAACGCTCACTGAACACATCGATGCGCTCAAGTGTCAGTGCCCTTTCTGGAACGAAGGCTTCCTGGGTGCATCCATAATCACACGTGACCCCCCATCCAATCCCACAACAACAAGAAAAAAAATAAAGAGAAATGTGCCCATGCAATACCGATTTCGCTGCGTCTACTCGCTAGGCTACGAAGTGGCGGGCTCTATTTTAATGTGTCTGCTCGCTAGGCTGTGTGTTCTGGCACCACCATCGGATCTCGTAAACCGCACTGCCGGGTGTCTATATAAGCAATAGGGAAGTTTTTCACATGGGCGCATCACCTATTTCCTAAATTTAAAACTAAAAAAAATTATATATTTTCGTTTAAGCAAATGGTCCAAGACCTTGTTTCGCATATTTTTGTTCGTTTTGAAATTATTCATACGGGATCCACAATTTTCTCACCTTTTCTTATTTAATATCAATTGATATATGGGGTTTAACGTCTCAAAACCGCCATATGATTATAAGAAATTTCGACCAGCTCCCTGCCTTTCTTTCATCCTTATTCTCTCTCTCGACCACCTGGGGTTATAATGTGCACAAAATCTGGTCACATTTTTTTTACACTTTCCCATACTCGCTTTAGAAAAGGTGGTAGCCATGAAATTTTAATATTTTGCAAAAAAAAAACGACAAGAGATATACAGATCATTAGCATTAGAGTCGACCGAAGCAAACATTTCAAAGTTAATGTAGCTACCAGTCGCCTAAAAACTCGCAGGGTGTGCATTCACCCAAGACGACTTGAAGGAGGCAAAAACCATCTTTTTCTCTTCTTCTCCGTCTATGCATTATAAGGGCACAGGGAACACGAGTCGTGGCTTTGCTTGCCAACATACCAAGCACCGTCTTCATCTTCTTCTCTTCAAGTCGCGCACTCTCTGGTTTTATTCGCTGCGCAAAGATGGGCCTTACAACAGAATCGTTCAGCGTTACGTCACATGGAATTACGCCAAAGTTAATGATGTCATGACAACGTCGCCTAATTTTGCGATCCATGACATCATAGTGACGTCATACGGTGACATCATCACGTGATGATTTTTTGCATCACTCGTCCCCGACGCTACGGGGCGGTCCGATTTCCCATTCAATGATGCCTCTAAGGAAAGAGAAAAGTCGAATTTTTACCGCAGCGTATGTACAGTGAATTCGTAGCGTTTCGGCAATGATGCGTACATCAGAATTGTATTACCTGGCGACCCTAAGCTGGTCTTCAACCTCCACGGTGCCCAGGCGGCGATAGACTTGGTGCAGCCGCCGGTCACCCTGGAGTCCCGAGCCACGGCCGTCGACGAGGCCATAGACAATACCTTTGCGGCTGGCCAAGTAGTGGCCCCAGTTGATGCGGAAGAGTTCCGTCACCTGCTGGGACCCGGGACCCCCGTAGACGTGCACCAGGAAGGGATACTTGAGCACTTCCTCGTCGCGCAGTCCCGGCGGCAGCAGTAGTCGCACCGACGCGTCTGCGAGAAGCACCGTCACTCACATCGCGTTGAAAGTAACGGCGAGCACTTACTGTATCCGTCAGGCAGGGGAACGGCAAGGTTGCGCACTTGAGGCATGGCACGATTCTCGACGAGTTCCCTTAGTTCCGAATTAGGCTCCAGCATTTCCACTGAAAAGAACGAAACGAAACTGGTTAAACTGATGTTTATCGCAAAAAAAAAAAAAAGACGGTTACGTGGGAGCATCACGTCGATCTCTAACTTTTCAGGCACGATTTTATAATGAATGAAAGAGGCAAATAAAATCTTTACAATGAAGACATATGTGCTAGAGAGCCTATGCGACGTCACATAAAAGTTCATTGTCGAAAGGCGATTTATCTCAATAATGAATGACGTCGAATGCAGCACTCGATAATGTAGACGGTGGCCACGCCCGAGGGGAACGCTGCTGGCAGGAACTGTTGATGCTTAGTTGATGGTGTCTTGTAGGTGACCGTCCGATCACAAATGCTCGAACTTGGGTACATCGGACGGTACCTCATTGGGTCTACGATTTTAGCGCCACCTTTTCCTCAAGAAAAAGAACAGAACGTAGCTTTCACAGAACTTGTAAACACTAAGCTGAAATAGGCACCAATCTAGCTTTGAGGTCTATTTTCACTGGGTTGGTGAGAGTATACTGTAACGTATTTTGACTTACTCGAAGCTTCAGCAATTGTGACCTCCGTAAAATAAATAAATAAATAAAAAACGCAGTTCATTCACTTATATTACAAGTAGATTGGCTTTCAAAACTACCTTTTAGTCCTGAAATCATCCATAGAGAGTGATCAGGGATTTGGGAACGCGTGCACGCGGCAGATACCACACTATGGTGGCATTACAGTATATACGATTTTCGTGGTCATTATGGTTATTACGATATTTTATCGGCACCATACAGGACCCATGCAGCTTGCTAACGTTAAAAGAGATGGGAATGCAAGCGCTAGAACGTATATGCTTTATAAGAGTATGCGCTTTATCTACACGACAGCTGCGAGCGTTGCCCGTAGCCGTGAAGAAGTGCTGTCATGACAAAGCAGTTATTATTTTTTCTTGTCGCGAGTTCCCAGTTAGCATCTCATTTAGCATAGCACAGGCAGAAAAAAAAAACAGGCTTGCGCGGAACGCGCAGCACTGTCACAGCGAAATCTCGCAGAGCTGCCTTTCAGAATCTTTTCTTAAAACTCCTTGAGTAACTGCTACAAGTACACTTGCTGGGTACCTACTATGGCCTCAGTAATCATAATTTTTGTATATTAGCCTGGCATTTTCCGGAGAAGCGTGGTATATATACGCTACACACTTGCTAGGAATATTGTGCAATATTTTTATGCAGTGGCTGACAACGATAAAAAAATTATGCCTGAAGTGGGTATGCCCCACAGTTAATAGGCAGAACAAGCTTTTGTAATGAGTTGGATCAATGAATGACCCACTCTTTACACAATTAGCATTGTGTTACGCCTGGTTGTTCCTTTGATGTTCTAAAACGCTTTATTACTTATATTATCGCGATTTGTTTCGCGACATTAAGACTGCCTAAGGCGAGTTTCGAAGCAAGTTTGAAGCGACGGCGCGGCAAAGGCGTAGAATATTGGGCTGGCACGCAACGGACCTGGGTTTGAATCCCATTGTGTCCTTAGCATTTTTATTTACTCAGTTTTTTTTCTATTTTCCCATATTGGTTTTATACGGACACCAGCGGCGGCGGCGGACAACTACGGCGCCGCGCGGGACCTGTGTTCTGATCTCATAACAGCTTTAGCTGTTAAAGCACATAAAAAAGACGCATTTCACAGCACACAGTGCGGTGCGTTGTCTAAAGTGTATTTCTTTTTTCTGTTTGTCCTTAGCATGGTGGCCTAATGGCTACGGCGATTGGCTGCTGACTAGAAAGAGGCAGGTTCATTACCGGCCACGCCAATCGCATCTAGATGGCGGCCGATTGCTGCAGGTCCACGTACTGTTCGATTTCAGAACACTTTAAAAATGTGGTCAAAGTTATCCAGTGCTCTCGGCGCTTCTTACAGCCTGAGCCGCTCTGGGACGTTAAACACCAATCTGTGCGTCCTTCTTTTGACCTACGCTACGACAAAGCAGAAGATGCAGTAACAGTAAGCTGATCGATTTCTCAATTAAATTTTTCTCCCGGCCAAGTACAGTATTGTGAAGGAATATTTGGTTGACGCACGCGGATTACGAACAAACATTTCACGAAGGGTTGACATTAGGCGGACACGAGTGGCGCCACCTACGCTGCTTGTTGTCGGCCGTGCTGTACAGTGCCACCCAGGGTACACCCGGGCCGAGACACTCGAGCACGTAGTACTCGGCGTTTAGCGAGAACCAGGCGTTGTTGTAGAGGCACTGATCGCCCAAGTCGCAGGTCAGGCACACCGGATGGGTGCCCTCCTTGTCGAACGGCACCTGGTACACGTGCGACTCACCGGGTCGGCCTTCGCGCGTGCTTCGGTAGAACCTGCGGCAGCGAATGCTCGTTCCAGTCACGCCGTTCGAAACACCCCGTACAACAAAACAAATTTGTAATAGTGTTCAATACACTCAGCTTGAGAGCTCTTAGGATGAGAAGCGACAGCGCTGGACACAGGACCGAGAAAGAACGAAAAACGAGGACGCTGACAAAGTCGTTCGTTCATCGTCCTGGGTTCTGAGCTGGCTGTTTCCGTCTATGATCATGTACCAAATAGCCTAGGTAGGCGCTGTTGTTGAGAACTACTAATTAGAGCTACTTTTGACGAACTTCGGCGAACGTACTGTAAGTAGATCGTGGTCAGCTTTAGCAAAGCGTCGCAACATTAAACGATAACGGGACGATTTTCATGATATTTGTTGAAGGTAAAAGAAAGATGCCTCATCATTGCGGTATGTTAGAGTGTGAACCTTTGTTATTTTAACATATATAAACGAAAATTGTCAAATAGAAAAAAATGTAAATGAAACAAAAAAAAAGCAAAAGCAAGTCAACAATAGAAACTGACATCAGAATTCGGGAAACTCTATCTCTTGAGTTATCTAAATAGTACCGAATTGTGATATCATACACCACCCTAAAACATGCTCCTAAATATAGGCGTAAGCCGAGTGTAAAATGTAATGGATTCAGGTAAGTGCTTCACTATACATAATGCTATTGCAATATATACAGTGTAATACAAACAGACCAACGGCGCTGTGGTATACTCAGTATTTGTTAAAACAGTTACATTTCAAAGCTACAGGCTTTGTCTATTCTTCTCAGTGTACCAATTTTCAGTAATATTAAACAATTAAAGGGGTGGTGCCATCAAATTTCGAGGCTATCCCAAACCTGTTGTGAGTTCCCTCAGTATGCAAGGACTCTTTCACACGAAGGATCGGACAAAACAAACGCGTACAATATATTTTAATTCCCTTCTAAAAGTGTAGCTGAATGCTCCCTCTCCCGATCGAGGCTTATCGCTTGCACAGTGACATTAATCTTTCGTAATAGGAGAAGCAACGGCAGTTGCCCTTCTATTACTAATATAAACGCTTTGTTTCCTTCTGGCTGACTTTTGCCTCGTTACTGCCTGGATACTACTGGAGCTGGCCATGGCGACTGTCAGTGCATTTGTTTTGTTGGCGCTTGTGTGTGAGAGCAGACGAAACTCATCTGTGCATCACAGCCTTGTGTGGTCACGTAACCATGCCACCTGTGCACCGACGTCACACCACAACTTCGCACAGCGAAATCGAAACTGAAAATGGTTCTCATAAGTATAGCAATATTAAATTATTTAGCGAAAATACATAAATCTTGGTGCGTCTTGGTCCCGGAGCTGAATAAAACACTCACAACAAAGAACAGGCATGCCACAAATTTAGTGGCAACACCCCTTTAAACAATGTGAGACCTTAAAATAACAGAAAAAATATTTACAACATTCGGCCGAGCTCAGGTTGCTTTCTTATATAGAAATGCCTTGTTTTAAATATGTTCCCCAGATTTTCATCAACTATTCCTGATTTCGCAGAAACAGATATGGAGTTTGTTACACTATTTACGAAGGTTCTGTAGACGTGTTACACGCACATGAATTTCTAATATAAAGCTCTTTAACTTTGTATGACATACAGGGGGTGCCCTATGTAACTCTAGCCGGAGTTTAAAAATATGCCGACGCACGCACTGATGACGTGAAAGCATGCATGTTGTTGACAATTACATGAAGGAAGACATACGTTTTTTGCGTTTCGTTTAAGTGCTTAATCAGGTAAGATCAGTTAACAAACTTTGGAGCAAGAAGCAACGAAGCTGGGTGGAATTTCTTAATGCAAAAGTTGTACTTTGGATCGCAAAAGTCCGATTAGACAGATTATGACGTTATATTTAAGTATTAGCGTTATTTTGCTTACTACAAATGCCCGCAAAACACAAAGAATATACCGTGTAACATGCCGACTTGCACGCCTATGTGCTCCGTGATCGTTTTAGAAAATTAACTACTTTAATAAACGATGCGGTGCTCGTAGAGAAAAAGAAGAAAACGATGAGGTTCAAATGGGCACCCTGTGTCTGCGCGAGTCTCTTGCGTTATTATTATTATTATTATTATTATTATTATTTTGGTGCCGAAATCCGGAAAGTCAAAAAAGACCTGGCTTCCTGAATGACTTTGGTGTTGTATGCTCACCGGGCTACTCGCTCTGCCTTCAGCCAATCCATTCGTCAAAGTGAGGCGCGATCTCACAGCTGGCTTGCACTAGTGTCAATCTCTTGCGTTCTTATTAATCGTAATGCTCCCTGACGGTCCGCGTGCAAATGACCATAGCATTTGGCCAGGTGTGCTGCCCGACGATGGTGGTGGCAAATGATAACAGCCGGGTCTGCTCACCGCTGTCGTGAACCAACATGAGGGCAAGCATATTCTTTAACGCGGTACGTTATGGAGCACTGCAATCACGGCGTGCAAGTGGGCATGCCACGCTTTATGTTTTTATGTTTTTGTATTTGGGAAACATCTGTACTAAGGACAAGAGCACCAACAGTTAACAGTAAATTAGACATTCAGTTGTCGTAATTCAGCCGATTTACAACCTCATAACTGGAAACTTCGCCAGCTTTGTTGCTTTAAAAGATCGTTAATTAACCTAGCCTAATTAGACAATTAAGGAGTGCACACGAAAATAAGTCATATTTGCACTAGCGGTGCCGAGTCTGAAAGAAGTGCAGAGTGGGGCAGCCTTCTCAGTTTCTCTTCAGTTTTCTCTTTCCCTTTCTTCCACCTAATCCTGTGTTTTTCTCTTTATTTCTATTTGCTATATTTTCCCTTTCTTTCTTTTCGGTCTGTAGATTGCTTCCTCTTTTTTAATATTTACACGTGCTTGTGCCTGCGTCATATTAAGTGACGACAGCATAAGACAACACGGCCTCCGTAAAGTACTCCGCGCTAGAAGATAGTGCGACATATTGAAGATAGTGCGACATAACTTCGCAATGTGCTTTACAGTATTGTGATATATTTACAGTATTGTGGTATATTCACTATATATCACAGTCTTGTGATATGTAGCTTTCAGTATTGTGATGTACTATTTTTTTGCCATGGTGAAATCGTGAAGTTATAAACTTGACAACTTCGCCATTTCAAAAAGGTTATAGAGATCAACACTAAAAAAAAAAAGTTCGTGTAACATATGTAGCAAGGTAGCAACGTTGTACAAGCCACGACTGTATAAAAGCATGCTGCTGATAATAAATGTCACTAGCTGCCGAGACGCCGACGCACATGTGCAATCAATCTGATACAGTCCGCATCCTACATTTACGAAATTTCAACGTTTGATTTCTAGTAAATGCAACACACTTAACAAACTCGTACGGTATAGTTCTCTTAAAAAGCGTGTCACCATTGCCATGTACTCAGATAGGAGTCTATACCAGCTAAAATTTCGTCTTAAAAAAAGAAAAAAAAGGGGCATAATTGAGGAGGGGGAGCAAAGTATGCATCTTCTCTCTTGCTCCCTTATTGAGCAATTACCGCCACCAACAAGCAGTTACAGCTAACAACTCTTAAGAGTTGGTTAGCTAGTCTAAATTGCGAAGAAACCCAGATGCAGGAGAAAATATGGGTGCAAGTCGACTACGTGGAAACCTGAACCTTTGATAAAATATTGCATTAATTTGGACATAGTTATTTTTTACTCTTTTATAGCATTTTGAAATGGCGGTGGGCTACGCATTAATTACTTAAAATTTTTCTGATTCAGTGGTCGACGAACCCTGCGTTCACCAGAGTCGTAAAACAATGACGAAATTTCGATACAATCCCCTAGGATCGGTAAAATCGCTGACGTTATTAAAAAAAGTATCGGCTACAAAACAAATCCACAAAAGTTTTCTATAGCATAAATATTACATAGGTAAACTGATCAAATAGCGCTGCTCGAAAAGACCGTGCACATAGTTGCCACATTAAAAGACGGAAATCAATATTCTGATCCGCATGTCACAAAACACCACCCGGCATTACGTGTTATGCATGATTTGTACAATTGAGTAAGCCCACGTTTGAAGAACAATATCTAGCCGACGTATACATTTGACTTCTGTCGTTGAAACTCAATACAGATTTTCTCTGCAAATTCGGAATGTACGCCAAATGATCGATCACGAGTTTTATATTCCCCCAAATTACAGCGAAAGATAAACCTAAAGAGTAAACATGCATAAAGGAAAAGCCGACCTAAGCAAGCTTGATTTCCTTGCAAATGTTGCCTCCTTAAATAAAGAGATGCGTGTGATGCAGAAGCTCGCTACGAGCACACCTTGTTACTTCCTTGATGCTGGCAGAAAATTGATATGTTTTGTGACTTGTTATTACACTTGTGGCTCAATGGGCGCATAGGAGGAGACAAGGATGCATTGTAGTTTAAGATAGCATCAAGTCGGACAGTGCATTGCATCCTTGGCTACTCTGAAAAGCTGCTTATAGTAGAGAGAAGAGTCAAATGAAAAGAAAAAAATATAAAGGTATAAGTGTAGCAAAAGCAAAGAACTTCAGTGTGTATTTTTAGGGCATCTATCTAAAATTTCTAAATAATTGTCTTATTAAAGCTCAGATGCCATTCGGTCAACATCACGTATTAATTAATATAAACAGGTCCCCTACATTGGTCGCCCTGTCTCGCCGCGGTGGTCTAGTGGCTAAGGTACTTGGCTGCTAACCCCCAGGTGGCGGGTTCCAATCCCGGCTGCGGCAGCTGCATTTCCGATGGAGGCGGAAATTTTTAGGCCCGTGTGCTCAGATTTGGGCGCACGTTAAAGAACCCCAGGTGGTCGAAATTTCCGGAGCCCTCCAATACGGCGTCTCTGATAATCATATGGTGGTTTTGAGACGTTGAACCTCACACATCAATCAATCAATCAATCAATCAATCAATCAATCAATCAATCAATCAATCAATCAATCAATCAATCAATCAATCAATCAATCAATCAATCAATCAATCAATCAATCAATCAATCAATTGATGCATTGGTCGCCCTCTTTTTCTTTCGTTCTTTGTCAGCGTGATAGATTTTATAACGAAGCAAGCGACACATTGGTGTATAGGTCGCGGAAACGGTACCCGGACATGTGCGTGCGTAACCGTCAACCGTAAGCCACTGGTTTCAGAATGCGTGCACGGTAAAAGGGCTGATCACAGCCAATTACCGTCACGTTACACGAGAACTTCCTTATATCAAGGATTATGCACTTTGGCTAAGCGAAGCTGTCAAATGGAATGTCCTGGCACGGCTCTACGAATAGTGCATTCGCTGTAATTAGGCAAGTGCCTCCCCGTGTTCCTCGTAGTACGGTGCTCTAAAGAATGATCTGAGGCGTTTCCACCTCGCTCTCCAAAACACTGCAGAAATAGTGTAATTCTACAGAAGCCTCACTTCATACTTTGTTTGTCTACACTGGTGTCGGTGAAATGAATTACCACCTTAACACCTGATTCAAAGGCCTGTGGGCATTTGTATTGGAACTGTGGCTATACGTTCCGCATTTCTCTGATCATCTAGGTAAAAAGTTCGAACATTCGAAGATGTCCGATAGTACGGCGATTGTAGAAGGAGAGGTCAGCCTTCTACAGTCACCACTGGGTCACCTTCTCACGGCATGTTCTCTGGTGCGAAACATCCCATTGAACCGATGTAGTAGCATTTGTAACAGTATGACCACATTCATACAGCCGCAGCGATATATTTCCTATAGAGAAGAAAACAACTAAAAAAAATGTGTAATAGCAGTGCTGTTATGACGCATTTACAAAAGCACAGCAAAACTACGTATCTACTCGCATAATTTACGCACCCCTAATATTTTGACAGCTTTGCTAAAAAATATTTACTCGCATATTTTGCGCTCCTGACCCTAAAATGCTTCGGAAGGGCGCGCGCCTTGCCTAGCAGACAAGCGCAGTCAAACGGGCTGCAAGTACACAGTTCATTTTTTTGAGGTCTTCTCCCGAACTAGAATCCCTAGAATACCGTGCACAAACACTCAAAGCTAGCTGTTGACGGGTCGCCGGAACTGTTAGAGCGTTTGCCTCCGTCTATGTACCCATCTCTACCGCCGCGAGAATGCCCGCTCACGTCACGGCACGGAAAACTTTCTGCATCGGAGGCGTGTGAGCTTTAGGGCCTGTCGCACTAACCGTTCCCCTCGTTCTCTGCGTCCGCACTTCAACGCACGCTTGGTCGGTTTCGGAAGTTTAAGTTTCGTCATCCGTCCGGCACGTTTTTTACGGTTCCTTTGCGATGTGGGACAGTATTTATATATACAGCAAAATTGAAGCTCACTGCTGTAAATTTTGCCAAAAAAGCAAAAAAAAAAAAAAAAAACGGGAACCGTGCCACAGCAAAGCACTTCAAGCTGACGTACTTCAACGCGTGACGATCAGCGCGATCAGTACGCGAGAAAGCAGAGAAGTGCGCGCTTTGTAATGCAAGTTTTCTGCCACTGAAGAAGGCCTTTTGAATTATGTGTGAACGCTTAAGTCACCCAGTATCACCGTGTTGTGGAACCTAGTTTCTTTCATCATTGTTGCGAAGAACTTCAAGAAAATGGGCCATTCGAACACGCTCGACAAAACCGAAGACGTACTTTGGAAGGGCGCGGTGGTAGCGGCCGCGACGATGACTCCCAATCTGAGGCTTCGCGATCAATGATTCATTCCCACTAGACCGTGCGTGACCGGATCTGACTGGTTAAAATACGTGCTAAATCTCCTAAATTAACAAGTAAACTTTGTTTCTGCTCCGATTTTTTAGATGTATATATGACGCGTGTTAGGACTCTGACAAAATATTGCGTACACTCCCACGACATCCTCGCGTAATTTGCGCACCATCTTTTCAGGGCCCGAAAATCGCGAAAAAAGAGCGAACACACACACACTTATATATATATATATATATATATATATATATATATATATATATATATATATATAGTGACTAACTTATGCCGATCAATGTGCGTATCATGTTGAATTGCATAATTACCGATGAAAGAGTGAAAGATGTATCTTCTTGTTGATATATATATATATATATATATATATATATATATATATATATATATATATATATATATATATATATATATATATATATATATATATATATATAGTGACTAACTTATGCCGATCAATGTGCGTATCATGTTGAATTGCATAATTACCGATGAAAGAGTGAAATTGTTCGACTTCTCTGTGAACTATTTCATGACTCGAACAGCTAACCGCGAAAGCAATGTGTGCCTAGAGTGACAATACAGCGCAACAAATAGAAGAGCGGCTGGCCGTTCTGCATCGGAGTACGCACAGATGGAGCGTCTTGGGGCTGAACGCAAGCGCGCCGATGGTGTCGTACGGGCCATGCGTGAGCCACGTGCGCCGCTTCTCCTGGAAGGCAGCCAGGTGCCGGAAGTTGCCGTGGTGTGCGTCCTGCACGGGCAGCCGAAGGAAGAAGGCGGGGCCCCCTGGCAGCGGGGGTGTCACGAGCGGCGGCTCGCTGAGCTCGATCCAGCCGCCCGAGGCCGTCTCGACGGCCTGCCTGCAAACAAGAAAATCGGTGATGAAGTCTGAGCTGCTCTGGCCACAGTAGGCCAGTCTCCAAGCTCACATCGAGCGAAAGAACAGTGCCGCATGGTCTAGAGCCATGGGCGCCTCGGAATCTTCTAAAGGGAATAATCTGAATGTGCTACCGACTGCTTCAAAGAAAAGGCGAAAGTGCTCTTGCTGTACTGGGCGACTATTCTCCAGAGCTACGCCATTCGCTAGATATGATTTTTTTTTGCCATAGCGCGTGGTTACCCTTACAAGTGTTCCTTGTATGGTGGCTATGCGCGATAAATTTTAGTAGTGTACCTTCTTCTTCTTCTGTACATAGTATGATTACTATTTTCGGCTCGTCTCCTATAATGTGCTTGGCTGGCAGCTGCCTTAAGCGTTGCCCGCATTGCACGCTCTCAGCGTGCAGTTCTACCGATTGAATTACTCCGTTAAGGAGAGGCTGAATGCAGAGAAGCGCAAAAAGCTACCGTGAAAAACACTCACCACGCTTTTGCTTAACTCTTCAGCGCATCACCAGCGAATTTCTGTGTCATAACTAGACACACGCTAATTTTTTTTACGTCTAGGTACCTGCTCTTGCAACAGAGGAGACGGTGTTGAGAGCAGGATCTAGGCTATTTATAAATTGTATGAAGATGGCGTGGGACAAATGCTCAATTCGCACTTCACGACCTCCATCTGCCCAGCCTAGTTGATCTAAAGAACGTGGAGACTCTTACTTGGAGCAGTGCCAGGCCGAGGCGGCCTCCCGGCACACCGACACCAGCGTCCAGTTCTGCGCCCGCGACAAGAAGTTGACGAGCAACGCCTTTTCGTCCAGAAATGCCACCATTGTCACGTAATACCTGCAATGAGAGCGTGTTTTCGCCACTGTCAGCGCAACATTAAGAACATATATAGCATTACTGAGCGTAGTGCGGCGCCGAAATGTTGCTGAGCTCGTAGATGCTGTTCTACACAGCCGCGTGGTTTGTGACGTATCGATCCTCCGCTTTCTTGTGTATTCCACGTTCCTTCGCTGGTTTCGGGTGGCACGAGCGGGTTGCTAATGTGGCTCTCTCGCATCAGCAAGAACGTTGCCGTGCTTCAGCTCACAGCCCTTTTCTGGGACTTTGAAATCAGGGGAGACATTACAACAGTCACAACACTTTGAGCTCTGTGGTAAATGCAAAAAAGTCATTAAGACTTCACTAAGCCTTTTACCATATTTGACACATAGAAACAGCATAAAACACGCCATATTGTCGTTCGCCCATCATCGCTACAATTGATAACGTGAGCTTTTCACACGTTATGTGTCAAGTTTCGACGATGACGCCATTTATGTGCCGTTTTCTGCCACACCTTACTATAGACAGCGGGGCCGCACAAAGAGTCATCGAATAGTTTCACATTAAACGATAACCAAGAGAAGCATGAAAGAGCCCTATACTTTCTACTACTAGCTTTGTCAAACACAACTATTGTTTAACAGCTTGTTCAGTAAGTCGACAAATCAGCAATAGCTTGACGTATACGGGCTCATTGTAGAAAATAAGGTTTACTGACGATGACCAACCACAGCAGCGCAAGTTTATCAGTGGCCAAGGAGAAATCGATAGAAGTTGTTAAAATGTACAGATGAACCTATGCGTACAAGTACAATTGTCCGTTACATGTTAACACTTCTTTTGTGACCCCTACAAAACTTTAGATGCTTTGCCTCATAACTATATTGCATAACAGAAAAGCCAGCTTGCCGTTTGCGTTGCAGCGAGGGTATTTTGCATTTGCTCATTTGCTTCTCAAAACAAGCAGAAGAAAAGTGTGTGTTTCACGCCAGTGGGCGAAGACATCTTCTGCAGTTGCAGCGCGTGAGTGGCCGACGTGTTACAGGCGAAGTTTTCTTATTGGATGGCGGACATTTGACGACGCGAGGTACTCGGAAGAGAAACTTCGGGAGCAGCGGAACAACAACCGGCACTGGACTTTGAGTGAGTGTTTCCTTGAAGAGGAGCATTCAAGCTTTGTTCCAAGAAGTTTGGACTGAATAAGTTTGAATAACTTTTTAGTCTTTAAGTATCTTGGTTAATGCATGACATTGCATTGTTGCGCGTTTTGTTGTTTGTGCCCGTTATTCTGAGTGTATCTTAGTGCATTGTATAGCAAGTTGTCATGAGTATCTTGTGATTGGTGACATACTGTATTGAAGTATTGCCGAGTGTACATGTTTGTGTGCTGCTTTGTTCTGCCGTATTTTAGAATATACTTGTTTTGTTATCAACTCTCGGCACTGCCTCGTTCTTTGGACCACAGCCGGCGTTCGCTTGTACGCCAGAGGGACTAATTTGAAATTGTTCGTGCTTTCGTGGGGTGTTTGGGGGAGCCGATTCGTCCCCCCTCAGAGTCAGCCCAGCGATTGCCTTCCTAATTAACGGGACCAGTGACAGCCACGGCGGCTGCATTTCTGATGAAGGCGAAAATGTTTGAGACATGTACTTAGATTCAGATGCATTTGAAAGATCCGATTTAGTCGACCTATCCAGAGCCACCCCCCCCCACCCCCCACTATGGCGTCTTTCATAATCATATCGTGGTTTTGAGACGTTAAATTCTAGAGGCTAGATATTATTGTTAAAAAAAAATCTATACTTTCGGGCCAGGCATTGCGAAAATTACAAAAAAGAAAAAAATATTACAAATTTGCATACAGGCCCAAGATTAAAATCAGCGCCGAAATTATCATACGTACGACAAATCATGGTAAAATAATGCTATAGTTGCATTCCTTATGCCCGTACTTTCAACACAGTAGGCTATGACACGAATATTATTACTTATAACGGTAGGGTTGAGACGCCGAGATGGTTAGTATTGTGGTATACCTGAAAGGTCTAATCCACTGCATAAAATGACTCATCTCAAACATAATAAGGATAAGGATGGACTGAGAAAGTATGTACAAAACAAGTATACGGTGCTTTCTGCCCACGTCATGCATATTTTGTGAGCTCAAATCATTCGTACTGTAGGAGCTTGAAAAGAGACTGAATGTTGAAAAGAAAATGAGCATCTGCTTTTCTCTGTTTAGTATTTTATCATACTTGATATTTCTCGCTTTTTTACGACACGCCGGACTCACTATTGGACCTAGTCAGCCATCTCACGTCATAAAGTGCTAAATTGCACGCTGTTTAGCTTTTGGTAATTCAACGCATACTGAATACACATACGCTTTTACTAAAAAAGAAGTACGTTGTAGAGAAAAGTCATCAACACATTAAAATCACCCACAGTACTCGAGGCCCCAAAAATACGATGCGATCACATCACGTTCCCTTTGCCAACGCCACAGGACCTCGTTGCTTCCTGTGGGCTCCAATAAGGCTGATAGCATTTGGCTCCTTACACGAAAATACGCCCTTCTAAAAGTAACACGTTGCTATGTTGTACACTTTGCAATGTTGCTTAAAGACATGCTCTAGAAAGCATGGGAAAGTTGGCAGTCGCTTCCGTTGTTCATAAATATGACCGTCTCTTCGTGGAAAGCACAAGCGCCAAAATAAAATAAAGCAACGATTGTTCCCCCGCGTATTCATAAAACATACATTGTTTTCCATAGCACACTTACAATAAATTTCATGGGAGCATGCTCGTGATTGGGAACTTGCGTGACATAAAAATGCGATAAAGATAAATTTCAGCCATCACATCGATCATAACACGCTTGAATAGAGGCAGAATTAATAGCCAGACGTTCTGAAAGTGCCATGCACTTAGTATTATCGTTACTTTTTTGTGCACCTCGCACGTTTTACGCTGCAAGCGAAAGAACTTCATGACCCTCGGCTCATAAGTCTGTCCAGGACTTTACTGCCGCCCATAATAATGTGCCGCCTTTTTAGAGGCCTTGCACTGCCATATTTAGCAAAAGTAGCTTTGCCTAACTGAAAAAACCGTTCATTATAAAAGTGCTTTAGATGTATTTATGTGCATTGAATATTTCATCATGTTATATTTCAAAGGGAACCTTTACTCGACTTTTATACTGTCGAAAAAGCATAAGCGGTTGCTGTTATGTTAATCATCTCCAAGTGAGGGTATTGCAATGTAACAACCCTCTATTGAAAAGAAACAACAGCGACCACAGAACATCGTCATAAGAAAAATAAAACAATCAAATAGAGAAACTAGGGGAAATTTAAAAATGCAGCTTCTGAAGGAAGATACAGTTCGAAATAGAAGCTGGAGGTCACGTAATGAGGCTCTTTTCTGACCATCGGATGAAAGAATTCATTCATTACTTTTAACGCACTGCTTGTGATACGCCGAATGGACAGCCTGCTGCTAAGGCGCAGAGCAAGAGACAAGGGAAAAAATACTGTTATCGGTATAGGTCGGCTACAGTCACGGAAGTGCTCTATTTAAAAGAAGATGGCTATCCGTACAGATCTGTAAGCACAAAAAATGCACCGGAAGCAATGACGACGATTGTGGACAAAATATTAGCCGCACGCTTTCAGAAAGCTGCGTGTTCTTTCATTAAAGACATGAGGCGACTCTGATGGCATATATTTGATATACAATGAATATATTTTGACACGATTCATTGTTCTGTTGTGTAAGTCCGTAGAGAACAGATTTGTTAACAAGCGCACTGAGATTCTAGACGATGTTACATATGAAACACACACTAAACCTCGTAATCACGTGCGTTTCTTCACCTTACCACGTGTTTTTATAAGCATACATTCAGAGCCCATCTTTATTATCCTGTTATTCGTTGTCCTTCATATCATGCTTTTTAAGCAGGGTACCATTTTTCTAACAATAAGCACCTCGCATAATGGCTGTAGTCTATTGATAAGCTTCAGTAAACTGCGCTAAGAGGATGGTTCTGAACGCAACTATATGACGCCGTCACAAGACTATTTGCTAGCCTACTTTATATTTACTTAAAGAGACACTAAATAGAAAGAATGAGTTGGTTTAGATTGATAGATTCTACTCTGGAAACTTCATCTCCGATAGTTTCACGGTCATAACTTCATTGTTGGCGGAGAAAATCAAGGTTGAAGTTTCTTTGTTAAATTTACGCGCGTGACGTATAAATTTCAAAATGTATTTTTTGTATTTCCGCAACATTGGCGCTATGAAATTTTCCGAAACTTCATATGCTAGATCTAGGGCACCCACAGATGACAACGTACTACATTTTTATCAATTAGAAGCTATGTTATAGGACTCAGTAGACGCCTTCAAAATTTACTACGTCCCGGCGTTTGGTGCGAGAATCTCACAGTGGCGTCTCCACCCGCATTTTCTTAAGGCACGTTTTTTTGCTTACCAAGTGTCATGTCGTGGTAAGAGTGGTGCTTTCCGAATTGTGAAATTGTGCTTTACTGATACACAAAAAATCGTTTCGTTCTTTAGCGTCCCTTTAAGGACATATTTTAGAAGCCGAGTAAAACGCTATCGAAGAAAGTATACTGTCGTTGAATTTGAGGCGGTAAGTTGAGCTTGCCAGGACGGTCGCGATTATAGTTTTTTCATTCTTGCTGAAGTATTTCATGTTAACTTTGAAAGCAAAATAGTTTTGATTTAGTTTAACGAAGCATGCCTTGCTTTTTTATTTCTTCGCTAAATTTGCACGTGCGCTACTTGTGTCGTAGGGGATGTTCTTAAGTCGTATTCAGAGTGTATATACATGTGATGCAGCCCGGATGCAACCCCCGACAACTACGTTAACTTAACAGAAGAAATATAAGGGTAAGTGTGCAGCAAGTAATCAAGCTGTCATAGAGTGGAAATGATCACTTGATCTCAAAGGAAAAAAAAAAGGCGAATATACATGACTCATATACCGCAAGCTGCAGTTGTGGCGTCAGCTTTTCTCTAGATCAGTGCCATTTCAACGACTGAAAAAAAAAAAAGAGAGGCGAAACCCGCAGAATCAGTGATCACACATGTCTGCACTAAGCTTGCTTAATCAGGACTACTGCCGTTAATGTTTCCTACTGGGAAAAGGCCGGACGTTGGAAAAGAGCAAAAACAGAAAACGAAAATTGGAGTATGCTTGAGCTTTGCCTTTAAGAGTAGATCGCGATAGCGTAATCGGGCCTTGTGCTCATCGCCTTCTGAACTGCTAACCTGCTTCGGATCTATAGGTGCATGCCTCAACCGTGCCGTATCGAAACAAACGACTGTGCGCGTAACATTCAGTGCGTCAAGCTATCTCAGAATGCCTATATATACACCAGGCACAGATGCTAAGGGAGTGTAGCACCTTTATCATCAGCATAATCACTTCTTTGTCACCGTGCTGCGCCTCTCGTGATGCTCGTGCTCGGAGCTCAAGGCGCGTGCTCGATTAGAATGAGTCCTCGCGCCTGGCAGTGCGGACGCAGGCAGCCACCGCCACTCTGCTTTGGCTCTGAAGAATAAAGTGGCGATATCTTCACACGTCTCTCTGCCTCTCGCTACAAGCGGTGAGCTGGTGAACGCGCACTTCAACGAGCGGCCGCTGCCATGCTTCCGTGACTCTGCCCGCCAGTGAAGCCTTCCCACCCGGACTACCATAGAGTATGGTTCGTGCAGCTTGACGCAACTCTCGCGCTCAATGATGTCACGGCACAGTCAACGATGCACACCTTTCTGGTAGACGCCCTCCTGGTATAGCTGCGTCATCTCGCTGCCGCAACAAGCTCCAGCCCACAGCCCTACGATGATCTCTGCTCTGCGGTGCTGGCCTGCTACGGCCTCACCTATCATCCGCTTCCGGGGACCCGTGACTTCCCGGTTTCCCCTGCGTCACAGCGAGCGCTACTAAACGGCCCTCATCCCTGCATTGACCAAGACTTCGCTTCCCTGACTACGTCTCTTTCAACCTCTCGCCCGACCAATACGACGAGGAGGTAGAAGACGCCCCTACTTAAACTGGTCTCCTCATCGAGAGGGGCGTGTCCTCGGAGCCCTCGCACGATGGTCTATCAGGCGTGCCCACAATCTGCGCGTCTATCTTGTCTTCGTCGGCCCGAGACACCTCAGGCTGGTCAGGCTCCATGACGGCTACATTGCCGCACGTCCTCCATGGAGTTGGTCACGACCATGGACATTGTCACGGCCACTATTTGCCCATCGATTATGAAGGCTTCGCCATCGACGATGTCGGGAGGTGACATTTTATCGGCCTCAGCGCTCTGCGCCTCCTGCCACCAGCCACTAACATCTCCCTTGAAGTATCTCGCAGAAGTTAGTTCCCCTCACCAGCCCATGGCCGAACGTGCGGGATGCTGCAACCATCCCCAAAAATCCCGAGGACCACCTGTCTTGCCCGCAACAGACAGAAGAAGCCACGTACGCCCTTCCGGAGACGCAGGCAAACAGTCCGCCAGCCGCCCCGCACGTGCGCTCGACTCCACCTACTGATTATGTAACTACAGTGGACATGCCTTCCAATCTTTCCAACATGGCTCGCTATTACACCACGACTGGTCGCGTAACATATGTCACCAGCACAAGACTCGTGGCTCGTCTGCACTCTACACGGCAGACGAGACAGCAGCCACAACAACTGATATGCCGCCTGCCGACTTCAGAGCCGTTACCGGTACCATCGCCACGACACCTGCATCGCCTGCCCACCACGGCGACGTTCATACCGACGTACAGCTAAACCAAGTGGCTTAGACACACTACGTCGACGCCACACTCCATATATCTCAAACATTTACCCAAGTGCGCGCAAGAACCACAACACTGTTGCCTGTGACTCTCTGCGCAAGTTTTATTGTGCAGTACTATGAAACATCACGGCCCGCTACCCATTTGCACCTTGTTGGTGGCACTCTTTACAGCCAACAGTGTGCCTTCGTCGCGACCCGCGCCCGTTTCGCCATTCCTAGAGCCACCCGCCAGAGATCCACCGGTTCCCGATGGTCCATTCACGTTGACAACCTGGACTTCCCAACGGACACCCTACGGATTGTTGACGCGCCAGTCTTGGCCAGCTGCTGCACTAAAGCGGAAGACAACCGCATGGCTCGTGATGCGCGAGCCACGAGGAAGGCAGAACGGCCTAGCTCCTGGCCTGGCTGGACGCTGCGACCTTACCTACGCGAGCTCCAAATAAAAGCCGCGATCACGGCATGGCCCCATGAGATGCCGTCTCTTCTATCGTTTCTGAACAGTAGCTTTGCCTCTATTTCTTTTGTATATCAAATCCCGCAAAGCGCTAGGGGGGGGGGGGGCGGGAGCCCTGTAGCGCCTTCATCATCAGCATCATCACTTCTTAGTCCCCGCGCTGCGACTCTCGCGCTGCTCGTGCTCGGAGCTCGAGGCGCGTGCTCGTTCCGAACGAACCCTCGCGCCTGGTGGCTAGAATGCAGGCAGCCGTCACTGCTCTGCTTTGATCCTGCCATGGAGAATAAAGTGGTGAGATCCTCACACGTCTCTCTGCCTCTCGCTATACAGTACCCCTACGCCACAATTCTTTCTTTTGCTAATAACCACTACGCAACCGCACGCAATTGTTAGTTTTGTTGGTGGTTCTGGTACTGATGGCGATTAAATATGCCTGCGCACTTTTTTTAATAGGCGGGCCTTTAAAACACCCACGAATTGCCCAATTTCCATTTTTTGACGTCTGGCGCGATTCTACGCTCCTTCCACGCAGTAAGGCGTTAAGACAACTCCTTTCACTTTATGGCATTTATATAGTGCTTTTTTTTCAGTTTACAAAGCAGCTTAAATAAATGTTCTGGCTCTGTGGTAGAATTCCTGCTTGCCACGGAGACCACCCAGGTTTAATCTTCATTCAAACTCGAAAACTTTTATTAATTTCATTTGCATCTTTTCAGTCACGGACAAAAGATGATTATTTTTTGCTCGAAACCAACGACGCCTACGCCGACACCGACTCCGGAATTTTCACGAAACGACCTCTTGAAAGCTATCATATTAAAATGTTAAAAGCGTCAAACAGACAAGGAAAACTAAAGGGACGTATTACTCAAACGGAAATGAACACACGCAATATAACTAGAAACATGAAAGCAAAATACTACTTTGGGCATGAGTCAGTGTTGGTTCGGCTGCCCATCTCATCGCTGTATTCAATTAAACAATAACTTGCCCAGTTTTTTTTTCTTCCAGTGAAAAAAAAAAACTAGATAAAGCAAAATTGGTGAGTGCCACATGAATGCTTGTTAAGTGTAGTGTTTCAATTTCCATGTGGTACTCATACGCCAGCCGAAAGACAGACTTACTCGCTGGTCTTCTCGAGCAGTTCCTGCGGCGGCTGCACGGGCTTTGCAGCCTCAGCTCCGCTGTGCGTGACGGCAACCACGTGCAGCTCGACCTCCGGGTTGGTTGTGCCCGCCTTGGGGTAGCGCAGCGGCAACAGCGCCGGATACTGTCCCTCGTACAGTGGAAACGTCATGGCGCTAACAGCGCTGTCGTTGAAGGTGGCGTAGCAGAGGCGGCTTCCCCCGGGCGACCACCAGAGCGCACTGCTCGAACCCAAAACCTCCTCCTCGTAGAGCCAGTCCGCTATGCCGTTGAACACGACACCAGGCGAGCCCGTGTCCGTGAGCCGCACGGGAGACGAGTCGCCCACACTCGGGATCAGGTACAGGTCGTTCTCGAATACGTACGTCTGGTAAGAGGAGCGAAGAAACGGAGGCCCCCTTTAGGGAAGGGAGCTTGACAGTTGTTCTCGATTTGCGCTCTTGCAATTTATTGCTGGCTGCCACGCGATAAGCCTGACCCGCAGGCCGTGGGATCAACTCCCGGCTGCGGCGGCTGCATTTCCAATGGAGGCGGAAATTTTGTAGGCCCGTGTGCTCAAATTTGGGTGTAAGTTAAAGAACCCCAGGAGGTCGAAATTTTCCGGAGCCCTCCACTACGGCATCTCTCATAATCATATGGTGGTTTTGGGACGTTAAACCCAACAAATCGATCAATCAATGCCGCGCGATAAGCAGACAATTGGCGAAGCCACGATCAGTTAGTGACAGCACTTACGGAAAGAACTTGCGTGAATTCATGGCCGAGGTCCAAGCCCGTATTCACAACATACTTCTCTGACTTATGACTGCATTGTATTGCCCGTAGCAGTCGTGATGTTCTTGCTATAGTGCTGATCTACACAGCCGCTATAGCGAATACATGAACCCCTACGTTAGAGAGCTCTCTTCAATATGGACTCAGGATTTGGTATTCACGAAGCATCTCCTGCATTACACTGCATAACACATCTTCACATCTAAAGATGCACCAAAGCACTTCGTGTTTCTTGAGTAATTATTGGACCACTACGCTTACTCTATACAATACCTTGCGTATGCAAACAGCACGCACCTACGCACACGAAAGAACGAACGAACCAAACAACGAATTGCAGCAGTAAGCGAAGTGTCATGCTTCGTGAACCACGACCAACAGGGTTCACGACGAAATGAGAACATTTCAGAGACAACGTGTTTGAAGACTTAAAAGGAGAGCCTGATATTTTGGATGAATGTATCAGTCGGCAAACGACAACAAATGCGCCAAACCGTTAACACAACGTTCATTGCACTGAGCTGCATGCGTTTATTTCGCGCGTTTGCATGGCAACAACACAACACCGACATGAAAGAAAACTAAAACGGGCCTATATATATATATATATATATATATATATATATATATATATATATATATATATATATATATATATATATATATTATATATATATATATATATATATATATATATATATATATCCTTTCGTAAACTGTAGACGCAATATTATCGATGACGAGCAACGTGCAAAGCTGCCACAGTCTCCAGGAAAGTAAATATTTGTCATTTCGGACCAAATATTCTCGTTATAATGAAAGCCCCTTTGCACTAAAACGCACATAAAGGAACGGGCACCAGCGAACTGCGACAGAAAACTTGGAAAATGCGCCAAAGCACACCACATCGTTTTTAAGAACGAAGTGAAGAAAAACATTTAAAATGCTGTTCCGGAATCAAGACGAACCATTTAATTTTTACAGCAGCCGCATTCACGCACCCGCCTTCACGCAGCCGCATTGGACTTTGCTGTACGTACCAGCTGGTTTCCAGTTTGGCCCCAGGCAGCATATTGTAGTTCCTCCTGGTTCGAGCTGTGTTTCAGCGGGAACACCTCTCTGAAGAATACGTGAAAACAAAGTTTCGCCAATAATTTAACTAAGCCCGTCAGTGGGAAAAAAAGCATACTGAGTAATTATTATCATAAACCCAGATTATCTGCTAGTCGCACGTAAGTTGGCCTTGCGTACCAACCAAGCTGTTAAACGGGTCACCGTCCCTGCAACGTCGGTCCTGAGACTGCATTTTGGTGAAGGTGAAAACGGCCGCGAGGCGGTGACCGCTTATGCTGTGAAGACCGCCCCACCGTCTATAGTGGCTGAGGTACTCGGCTGCTGACCCGCCGGTCGCGGGATCAAATCCCGGCTGCGGCGGCTGCATTCCCGATGGAGGCGGAAATGTTATAGGCCCGTGTGCTCAGATTTGGGTGCACGTTAAAGAACCCCAGGTGGTCAACACTTCCGGAGCCCTCCACTACGGCGTCTCTCGTAATCATGTGGTGGTTTTTGGACGTTAAACCTCACGTATTAATTAATTGCTGTGAAGATAGAAAGGTGCCGTAAATCAATTCTTATCAAACCAATCGACGCCATCCAGTACTGCATGTGAGTAGCGGCATATGAGGGAGGCGGGGGAGTGTGTGATTAGTTACTAAATTATCAGTTGCCAGAGCACGCAGCATGATCAGTTGTGCACTTTCAATATCTCCCCTCTCGATAAAGGCAGCACAAATAATAATAAATAACGCGAAACCTTGCCACCAATAGACACACGTGCTTTTCAGCTTCTGCGAGGCTGTATATTTTTGGTAGAAGTGAAAGAAATATACTGTAGCAACTGAATCGGAGACATTACGACATCGTAAAAATTATACTGAATCGTGCAGAAATTCACCTAACGCAGTGCATTGAGAATGCGCAATGTAGACTTCGAATACCACAAGAGAGCGGCTTTTCCTCCCCATGTACTGTGTGGCTTCCTTTTAAAATAGATCAACCAAATGATACACCTGCGTAGTTATCTTCAAATATGGTGAGTCGTTATCGTAATGGGAAGTAGATTCGGACATCTTGAGGGACTAGTTGGTTCATTTTATAGAGGAAAAAAATGCGCGAATAAAAGAAAAGACACCACAAAGAAGGAACACTTAAACAGCTCGAGCACAAAGTACCAACTTAGTAGTTTGCGCTCGACCTGCTTAAGTGTTCCTTCTTTGTGGTGTCTTTTTTGCTTATTAGCGCAATAGGTAGATTTTTTGCAACATGACTAATAGAGAAACTTAAAACATGAGGGAACATTTCACAAGCCAGGTAACATGCAATTTCGACAGAACACCTTGACTAAAATGAGCCAGCATGTGTTGTGTCTTTTGTTTTTGCCAGATGGCTCACCAATTCCCCCCCCCTCGCGCCCCCCAGGCAACTTTCGTCAGAGTCTTCATTGAGTGACGTAGCAGATATAACAATGAAATGTTTTTGTCTTGTAGATGATGCAGCTACTGGCTGAGTAATGAAGTGGCCATACTCAATATTTTGGCTGGATCAGTAAATTGGTTTGTAGTCATATCATAGAGGAAAAGAATGTGAAGCTGCTTCGATATTTATTAAAGATTAATGATTATTAAGAGGAAGCATAGACAAGTTCGCTTAAGAATCGTTGCGGCATGTGTTTAACCCAAGAATGTTAAATTTTTTAGTATAACCTCCTTGGTTTAACCTTGAAACAGTGAACCGAAGTAAAGCATTTCGATGTGACAGGACGTTTCTCTAAGACTGCATTGCAATGACATTTATGCTTGTACGTTTTTCCTTCGCTGATTAACTTTGAAAAGAATCATCTCGTGAAGAATCCTTCATGTTTCTCGCTTGAGCTATTCTCGAATGATAGACATTGGTTCTAAAAATTCCTGAACGTCCACAAAACAAACAAAAAATGCAAAAAATAAAATGAAAAAGAACAATGAAATCGGTGCTTCCAGACGTTGCTTACCTGTTCGAAAAATCATAGATCTTGTACTTTGCGGTGAACGAATATCGGAACACCTAGAACAAAAAGAAAAAAAGAAAGGAGGGGAAGTATATAAAACAGTTATGTTGCTAGGTAAGAAAGAAAAAATATATTAGTGCTACCGTCAACTTCCTTCCTCACGCGTCATGTTTGTTTTTTCTTCTTCATTGAATGTCATTATAATAACAAAATTTTTATGAAGAATCTTACTTGTGTGATGTGATTGAAGTTTCGAGGCTAAACGTAAAGGCCCAAGTGAACGGTTTCTGAAGAATGATCTTCTGAGAGTGTTGTGATATACTGCGCAGTTTTGAGTAAATTAAGCATGACAGAAAGGAAAAAATATTTTGACAAACATGCTGAGGAACGCACAGTACCTCTTATAAGAATAAACTGCAGTAAAAAGACACTGCAGTTACAATTTTATGCGTTTTAAATAGAAATCTTGCATGTTATACACGTGTATGTGACCCAAACTTGAAGTAGTTGAGATTTGACTTGGAAAATGCGAACATTAGCTTATATTTACAAAACTTTCTCTACATTTGCTGACTGATCCTGAGGTCCTTTTTGACTTCTTATATCAGCAGGGTTTCCTCCGAGCAGTTACTAATGTGAGAGAGAGAGCAGCATTGTATGCACTTGACTCCACACATTAGGTACGCGCATAGCATCTTGTAAACTTTAATTTTACACGAAATTGTATGAGAACCTACGTAAGTAATCATAATAAAAGACTGACGCCCGTGTAAAAACTTTGCATTCACTACCTTACTGTAAAAACAATCACGCTATGTCTGGCTGAGCAATTCTGAGCATGCAATACTGCACCTGAGGCGTAGTGACATTGTAGCAGCCCACAGTTACATTCTACGACAGTACCCCACCAGGAACCGCCAGAGCTCAACTTCCTTGAAAGCGCTCATCTACAGTTTGTTTTCAGTACAGTCGTTGGTTGTCACACTTTTCTCTTTTTCGGTCAACAGTAGTTGTTATTTAGTGCAAAGTCGAGCCGGAGACATGCTTGACTTAAGTGAGTATCGAGTGGGCATTCTAGATGAAGAAAAATGGTACACCAGCTATATAATCCACTTACGGGCACAACGTCGTGGACAAGTAGCAAGAAGTTGAGATCAGGCGACATATAATACTTGCGCACGTCATATTGTCGCTGAAAACAGAAAGGAAACCAATTAGGACAATGTAAAGGCACTCAGTAATTGTTCTATACAGGGTGTCCCTCGTAACTTTAGCCAGAGTTTAAAAATATGCCGGGACACGTAATTACGACGCGGCCAAATGCATGTTGCTCACCGTAGCCTGGAGTTAGTCAGACTATTTTTTGTGTTCTCAAATATTGTTTGAATAGATCTGTTCAATTACTAACTTTTGAAGGAACGAAGATGGATAAAAATTTCAATGAGAAAGTTATAGATCGGTTTGCAAAACGCCCAAATAGATAGCTTTGAACTTTGTATATGTTAATTATTAGTGTTTTTGTGCTCATTACAAATGCCCGCGAAATAAAAAAAAAGTACTACGTGACGAACCCGCTCGCGCGTCTGTGCGCACGATGATTCTAGTGCTCCCTAACGTTCCGCGTACGAACGACACGCTTCCCTCGCACCGGTTCATCACAGCGATAAGCAGTCACAGCGGTTATTGTTTTTGTGGCCGATAGCAAAACGTGTTCATCGTGAAGCCACCGCCATCGTTGCGGCCCTGCCGAGACAGCACAATTGGGCAAATACTATGATCGTTCGTACGCGGAACGTTAGGGAGCACTAGAATCATTGTGCGCACTGGCGCACGAGCGTTCGTCACGTGGTATTTTTTGTATTTCACGGGCATTTGTAATTATCAAAAAAACTAATACCTAACAGATATAAAGTTAAAAACTGTCTAATCGGACGTTTTGCAAACCTATCTACAGCCTTCTCATAGAATTTTTACGTGTGTTCCTTTCTTGAAAAGTTAGTTAATTAAACATACCTAATTAAACAATATTCATGAACACTAAAAACAGTCTGACTGACGCCAGGCAACGGTGAGCAACATGCGTTTGGTAGCGTCGTAATCACGTGTTCCGGCATATTTTTAAACTCTGCCTAAAGTTACGTGGGGCACCCTGTATATAGAGCTGTTCAACACACGGTAACAAATTCAGGTCCTGGAAAAAATAAAGAAAACAGTATGATGTCCTCGTTCCGGTGATTATTCAAGCCATCCAAGGGCGTGTTTTGTTCGCGAGGAGGTCGACTTTGCTCAGCTGAGCCGAGCGCCTGCCGTGTCCTGGAAGGTTTCGGCAGCGTCAATGTTTTACAATGCCTGCGCGCCTAACAGCGGCTGTGTAAATACATCAAAGCTTTCGCGCGCCATCCCCGTAGGCCTTGCCGACCCATAAAGCGTGCCTCTTGCGTACAACTCTGCTTTCTGGTCGCGTTTCTCATCACCGTAGCGGCGGGGAAAGCGAATCCCTGGGGCTAGCGGGGCGCCCGCTTAGGTGCTTTAACTCCTTGGTCACTCGCAAAGGGCCTGCCCGCTTGGCCGCGTCTCGTTAAGATGTGGTGCGCATTTGTTCGGCATCCAACGACGCCGTTATAGGGCGGACAAAGTTCGGAGTGCGCGTGGGATGGCCTAATGTGTTCGCCAGTGTCGTGAGCACCGCGGCGCTGTAAACGTTTACGGCCACAGCGAGGGGCGGCCAGAAGAGTGAAAGAACGGCATGAGACCATTGGAATGACCGTGAAGCAGCCAGGGCCTTAGCTTTCACTGGAAAGTGCAGTGCCAAACAAAAGGAAGGAACGCTTCACGACGATCGACTGACCCACGAAAGCTTTCCACGCTGGCATCTTACGCGTGCCGCCACGTCACGCAGAAAATCAAAACAGTCGATCGCGAAAGAGGAAAGTTTTAGCAACGAGTAAACTTAATGTTTATAATGTACGTCGACTCAAAGCCTCAGCGAAGAAGCTAAATACGCGTTCGAGCAAAATTTACTCAGCACATCATCCGTCCAGAGACCGCTCCTCTCGTGCACGTATCCCGTGTACTTCCTGTGTTCCGCTATTCTTAATGGAGCCTTAGTGATTCAACGAACTTCTGGCTATTGGGCCTCATTTTCACAAACCTTCATATCGGGCCTGCCTCGCCGAGCGTCGATTATTTTTTTTTCTGCATTTTGTAAACTTGAACAAAACCGAAAAACGACCGGAACACACTTGTGTTCCGAAAAGGAGTCGCCTATGGGAGGCTCGTACACTTCCTCACACGCCAAGTTTTAGCAATGGCAGAAAAGAGACGGGCCCTGCGTTAGCAGGATCAGCATGTTACATTTGGTGTTGCAAAATGTCATGCTAGTTTCTATTTTTTAAATTTTTTTAATATTTTCACCTTTAGCTACTGAGTACGTTTCTTTGGGTTATAAGCGACCTTACAGAAAAAAGAGAGGTCATTAGTGAGCTAGGACGCTTCAGAACTCTGCAACTGGTACTAAAACACGAGGGTAAAATTTACAGCCACTGTAGCTCCAATCGGGAGTTTCTCCACTTGATGTAGTTTCTTGATGCAGTTGTATTTTCTGGCTGTATGATGAGTGCTGCTTTTCTGTCTGCATATATTAGCGTGAAGCATCAGAGGTCACGTCCCCACATTACAACAAAACTGTACCCCCTTCCCCCCCTCAAGATATATTTTCTTACTACTCAAGAAGATTTCCGGCACAAAGTTATGCAACCAAGTGAGGTGAGACTCTTGATTACTTTCTTCCGTAGCAATGTGAATCAAGCGCGTCGCAACAGCAAAAATTTCCTTCTTTCCTTCGAGTCAACTATACGTCACTTTCAACGGGGACAGCGACTCCCCGCATATGTCATCCTAAATGGGAGAAGAACAGTGGTCGCTCACGAATGTAGTGTTGTGCAGCAGCGTCCTCTTCTCCTTGTTCTGAGCGTTGTACAGCACCAGCGCGCCGTCTGTGTCCCGGTACACAAACTCGGTGTCTAGGCGAAAAGAAACAAACAAAAAACGTTATGCTTCGCACAGAGTCACAGAGGTGCATGAAGCGCAACGGCGCATTTTAGCGGCTCGCGTTTTAGAGCCACAACACAATTAAGATAAGATAAATCACGAATCACTGCCATGTGACCCAGCCTATGGATCTTCCCAGAACCCGTTACTGTTGTCGAAAGTAGAATTGTTAGTTAGTTTCTGCTGTCACGTCCACAATTTCATCTAAACGTCGTCACGTGCACTCAATAGCAGACTTGGGAGTGTGCTATTTTGTGCCTAATAAACTTGTAACTAAGAAATAAGGAAAACCGGTTAACCAAATGGACGGCCACGCACAACTAGCAACTTGCCACTCAATTTCCTTTGAAACGACGCAATTAATTGGTGGAGAAAAAGAAACAGTATGTGAACATATTGAGGTAAATGTATCTAATACCACATTTTAGCTTCGTTTATACCCGTGTTAGATATTAAAGGTTTTTTGAATTTCCCGCAGGCAGTTTGAGAAAATAAGACAACGAGAAGCATATTTTTTCACGTACTGGGCTCACGCAGATGCTGATAAAAGTGAGTTAGTGAAAAAAAAAATTGGTCTGAACTTTTGGCGCTTGTTCATTCTATCGTACTTGTTCTTCGTTTTCACTTACGGTTTATTAGTTATGAAACGTAATTAGACATAAAACAATTGCAATAACTCAGGCATTTTTATTACGAATCACATAGGCACACTGCTTGTGGAAAAGGGAAGGCTTATTACAAATTAGGAAATATCGAAAACATTTAAAAGAAACCAAGCCATTGCTTATTACATCAGTGCATTATAATTTCCCTAATTAATACGTAAATCAAGTGCTTATTTCGTCATTCGTCATTTTCGTGGTTCGTGACATCGTCGTTCGTGACTTCGTACTGTGAAACCATCTCTCATCATGTAAAGCCGTGGCCAAGTTGGTGTAGAGCACGCGAGGAGCCGGTTTTTGCTGTGTGGGGCGAAACCTTGAGGCAGTATCGGGCTCTGACTTGGTCAGCCTGACAACAAGGCCACGCATGATCGTGATAGACCACTTCAGAGCCAGAAACTGCCCTAAGGTTTTGCCCCGCACCGCGAAAACCGGCTGCTCGCGTGCTCTACACAGATGTGGCCGCGGCTGTGCCTACAGTAACCACCACGCGTACGTGGCGAAATTTCGCTATCTGGCAAAATGACCGGCAACTAATCATTGAAGCATCACAATGTAGCGAACGAGTCTTATGCCATCATGCAGACCATAGCTGAAGCTCTTCAACAGCTTCCAACATGCTTGAGTTTTGAAACGTTTTAAGCGCATTGCCCGAAGTCAGAATGAAGCAACTGAGTGTCGCATCTGCTGGGGACGAAGCAGATGCGGCACGATCACAGCGTTGACGTATTTCTAAAGCCACGCACACAGCCTGCACCGAGAATCGAAAGAGAACTCGAGGCATCACATCTTAATAAGCCTGGCTCACTAATGATCGATCATGGATGGCAACTACGCAGTTATGAAGGTAAACGGCGAAAACGAAACTATACTGCTTGTCACAGTTTGACCCCAGTCGATATGGTCATCATAGACAGCGACCTCGCAAATCGAAATCATCCAGTAAAATTGAAAACAAAACGGGTCCGCTGCTCCCTCTGAACCATTGGTCGCCGACAACACGATTGTAGTATTATTATGGATAGCAACCACGCCTTTCTTAAGGCCTGGGGCCATTTAAGTTGTTCGCGGATGCATTTTTTGCTCTTTTGTGTGGCACATTTGTGGAAATTAATGCTTGCAGAGTTTCGTGGATTGTCCGAATGATCGAACTTTCTATACTCATTATCATCATCAACATCAGCCTGACTGCGCCCACTGCAGGACAAAAGCCTCTCCCATGTTTCGCCAGTCGACTCGAGCCTGTGCTTGCTGCTGTCACTTTATGCCCGCAACCTTCTTAATCTCATCTGCCTACTAAACTTTCTGCCCCCCCCCCTCACTCGCTTGCCTCGAATCCAGTCTGTTATCTGCAATGACCATCGGTTATCTTGCCTTCGCGCTACGTGCCCTGCCCATGACCGTTTCTTCTGGATCTCGACTGTGATGTCCTTAAGCCCGGTTTGTTCCCTGATGCACTCTGCTGTCGTCTTGTCTCCTAAGGTTACAGCTATCATTTTCCTTTCCATTGCTCGCTGCATCGTCCTCAATTTAAGCGGAGCCCTCTTTGTAAGTTTCCAGGTTTCGGCTTCGCATGCCAGTACCGGCAAAACGCAGCAGTTATATACATTCCTCTTGAGACCTATCTTTCTACTATCCTTGCCTATTTCAGTAATCTTGAATTGCAATTTATCCCTTGAATTAGTCAGCAATGTAATGTCATCGGCGAAGCGCAGGTTAGTTAGGCACTCACTATTAACTCGTATCCCACACTCTTCCCATTTTAGTCCTCTGGGAACCTCCTGTAAGCATGAGGTGAAAAGGATTGGGGAGATCATATCCCCTTGTCTTACACCCGTCTTTATTGGTATTCTGCCGTTTTCTTTGGGAGCACTATGGCGACAATATATCCGCTGTAAATTTCTTGCAGGATGTTTGTATACGCTTTGTCGACACCCTGATTCCGCAGTGTCTGCGTGACTGCTGATATCTCTACTGAGTCAAATGTCGTCGTGTACTCTATGAAGACTATGTATGGTGATTGGGGGTATTTTGTGTATTTCTTCATCTTCTGATTGATAGTATTAGCATAGTAGATTGTTGAGTAGCTTGTACGAAATCCTGCTTGATACATTATTTGACTGAGTTTGAATGTCGTAATTTTGTTATAAATTACATTTGTAAACAGCTCGTATACGACGGAAATAAAGCTAATCAGCTCGTAATTCTTCTAGTCCTTGTCATCCCCCCTTTTATGGATTAATATGATGTTAGCATTCTTCCAAGATATTGGTACCCTTCCCGTCGGGAGACACTTCTTAAACAGGGTAGCCAGTTTTTCTAACACAATCTGTCCTCCATCTACTAGCAGATCTGACGTTACCTGATCCTAACTAGACACTTTGCATGTTTGCTTTGCATTCCTTCTAAGGCTTTCCTGGTTTCCTCTGCTGTTACTGTTGGTTGTAATCTGGGTTACTGCTAGTTCTTACATTATGGTCCTGGTTGTCTTGGCTACTCTTCAGATATCTGCAAAACTCCTTCGCTACTTTAATTATCTTTTCCATATTTGTAGTTAATTTTCCTTCCTTGTCCCTTAGTGCCTACATCTGGTTTTTGCCTATCCCAAGTTTCCTCTTCACCGCTTTGACGCCTCCACCGTTATTTAGGGTATGTTAAATTCTCTCCATGTTACACCTTCTTACATTGCGTACCTTACGCTTAGTATTAAACTTCGAAAGCTGTGCCAGTTTTATTTTGTCTGTTGTATTTGAGGCTTTCATGCTTTGACGTTTCGTAATGACGTTCTTCGTCTCCTGGGAAAGCTTGTTAATGTCCTGCCTAACCACGGTACCTCCAACTTACACTGCACACTCTGTAATGATACTCGTCAGATTATCATTCACCGCGTCAACGCCAAGACCGGTTTCCTCGATAAGAGCCGAGTATCTGTTATGAAACGAGACTCCGAATTCCTGTACTTGCCCTCTCAGCGCTAGCCTATTGATTGGCTTTTTTCGTGTCAGTTTTTGTCGTTCCTTCGTCAAGTCTAGGCGAATTCAAGACCTTACCATTCTATGGTCACTGCAACGTACCTTGCCAACCACTTCCACATTCTGTACAATGCCTGGGTCTGCACTCAGTATAAAGTCGATTTCGTTGCTACTTTCACCATTAGAACTCCTCCCTGTCCACTTACGGTTCACTAGTTTTCGGTAGAGCGTATTCAAGATCCGTAAACTGTTGCGTTCTGCGAATCGTACAAATAACGCCCCTCTGAAACTTCTAGTACGGATGCCTTAATTCTCTACTGCCTGGTCTCCAGCCAGCTTCTTCCCAACCTTGGCACTGAAGTCGCCAATCAGTATAGTATATATGCTGTGTTTTTAGCTTACTCATGGCCGATTCCACGTCTTCATAGAAGCTATTAAACAATACGTCATCATGGCGGGATGTAGGCGCGTAGGCCTGTGCCCCCTTCATCTTTTATATCTTACAATGTTTAAGTACAATACCTGCCCCCCTTTCGTTAATTGTATAGTATTCCTCTATGTTACCAGCTATAGTTTTGTGGATAAGGAGCTCCAACCCCCGTTCTCTTCTGTAAGCCAAGTCACAATAGCAAGGATACTAAGAATCTCTGGGTCCGGACAGGCCACCATTGGAACATATACTTGGCAACGTTTAACGCTATAACCTTATCCAGGGAGGCAAGTCTAGCTGTGCTGTTCGAGGAACTAGCAGCTGTTAAATGGGATGTAGTAGGACTAAGTGAAGCAACGAGGGCAGATGAAGCCTATACAGTGCTACAGAATGGGCCGACTTCCATAATAACGGGGGTCAAATTAACAAGCGCACGCGCTTGCGCTTACAAGCATGACTTCATATGTCTTCCGATGTTGCGCCAGTGAAGCAGATGAAGAAGGATCATTAAGAAAATGGGCCTCCTATCACCTGAACGACTACCACTCCGTGATTTCTTTCGTTCCTTCGGCCGCAGCAGAAAAAGAGAAAATGGCCGCTTCAATATCTTCTTTCTGGCTAACGATACAGTATCCCGGCGAATGGGAATAAATAGAGAGCGGCGAAGACAGCGTCGGATTACGCATTTCGTAAGACAGCGAGCCTATGCCGAGTCCACAGACACCAAAAGTATATGCGAGCATAAAGGAATATTCATTCGAATCTTCCTCAAGTATGCTGCGCTGTCGCAGATGAGAAAAAAATTCAATCTATTCACAGCTTTCATGTAAAAAACTCTTATTATAAAGAGAAGGAGTGAAAGAAAGAAGTAGAAGCGTTTCGCCAGGCTCTCCTTCACGTTCCGATTT